CGATACTTGGATATGACGTCCTGTCGTGATCCGGAGATCGACACTTGCACCGTTTAACTGCTGATAAGCCGAGTAGTTAGGGCGCTCCAGCGTGCGTTCTCGATGCTATTGTATTGAACCGCAGCGCATACTATTCCGGCGGAACTATCTGCGTTCATCCATTTGTTGATGTATGTTTGGACGATACCGTTGTATCCCGAACCGTCGTATGTTGCGGTCCGTCCGTGCTGTCAGAGAAAGCCTTCGATTCAGCCGCAGTCGTCCGTGTGCAAGGCCGGGTCTTCATGTTGTAATCCGGCGGCAGCGGCACGGGTGTCGGAGAGGGGGATGGCCCTGGAGTTGGTGACGGTTCAGGCGTGGGTGTGGGCTGAGGTCCCGCCGCAGCAGGCAGTCCGCTTGCTGTCAGCGTGAAGTCGCCGGTCGCGCCGGCGTCATAGGTCGTCGCCTCTATCGTGTAGACCCCTTCTGCCAGACTCGCCACCATACCCGAATCCGTGCTCGTATCAGGGCTAGTGTCGATAATGCTACACAGCATACTCGTTACTTCCGAAGCGTAGTCATCGTTCTCGCACAACACCGTACCTTCTCTGCCCACGCCTTCGCGTAGGTACAGGTATGGGTCAGTTGAGGACTCCAGCGTGATGGTGACTTCGGCAGACTCGGTGAGCGAGAATGTGTAGTAGCGGGCATACCTGCCAACACGGTCGGAGTGCGAAGATTCGCAGTCATCGGCGACCAGCTTCCGCTGATCTCACCGTCAGCACTCACTAACGCCACGCAGGTGTCGGCGATAGGGGTAGCTGTTGGCTCTGCCGTAACAGTGGCTCTCTGTCGCTTGGCGTGGCAGTTGGTTCTGGGGTCTCGGTCGGCTCAGGTGAGGTAGTCGGCTCTGGTGTAGATGCCGCCGCGTCCGATGCCAGCAGTCTTGCGAAGCCGTAGCCCCAGATGTTGTCTGCTCCTGTGTCGCCCCGCTCTTCGGCGTGGTTCTTAAGGAAAGTGGCGACCTGCTGCGGGCTATATTCGGGGAATCGCTGCTTCACCAGCGCAGCAAGCCCGGCGACATGCGACGACGCCTGGCTAGTTCCAGGGAAAATACCGTCGGGATTGTCGGTTGAGCGATAAGTTACTGACTGACCCCGGTCCGCGCCAACGATATCCGGGCTTACTCTGCCGTCGGGCGTCGGGCCTTGGCTGCTGTAGGGCTCGACTGCGTTTATGTCGAACGCGGGCGCAGCGCCCACTGCCAGCAAGCCCGGATTCCTGCTTTCCGCTGGGCTGCCGATACTGTGATGCAGTGTGTGGTGCTGTATGAGTCTCCCTGTGAAATCCTGAAGCTGTATCCAGTTCGGCGTCGTGCCGCTTTTTCGATCAATGCCAAAGCAGTACGCACCTGCAGGGACAGTTACATAGATTACTCAAATGGGTCGTGAGCCGCTCCTCCGGACTGCGCTGAGTCAGAACTCTCATATATTTCAAACCGCCCGTCCCCTCGTTATACCTAGCTAGAATCAGGTCCAAGTCTCTGTTTGCTCCAGCCCATCTGTCATCCCACCGCAACTGGATTTTTAGGCTCACTTCTCTTAGAAACCTTGCTGTATATATTTCACCTTCATCATACAATGCGTAGTTGTTGCAATTGTCAGAGCCGCTGAATTCATGCAAGCCGTCTCCATCTGTGTCCGCGAAACTCCCGAACCAAGTGCTCTGTGCTTCATTTCCCGCGGAAATGACGAAGGTGATGCCGGCTGCGACGGCGGTGTCCACACTCTTTGTATTCCGTTTTAGTGTTCCGTGTCGTCCCGTCGCCCGGACCTTGCCATGTAAAACCCAATGACATGTTGATGACATCCACATCTTGTCAATCATCCAATCCACAGCGGTTACAATATCTCCATATGACCCTCCAGGGGTGGAAATGTAGTAGGTGGCTTCAGGAGCGATGTCGAAAGCGGATTCGGTTACTGCCGTGCCGTGCTCGCTGGCGTCTGTGTTATCGCAGTCTGCGAGGCTCGATGTATATACGCGATATGTCGGTGTAGCATCTCGCTTCCACTGACGCGGACGAGGGCAGTTCCGTACCCATCAGGCTGCGGAAGCCCTGGAAGCCGGTGTCGATAATGCCAATCTTTACGCCCTGCCCCCTGTATCCGGCGCTGTGCCATGCGGGAGCGCCGTGCAATGCTGCGCCGTCACTGACGACTGCGCCTTGCAGTCCTGAGGCGGGGATGATGGTCCTGGATGCTGATGACTGCTTGTCCTGCGTACGCAGATGCGTCATGGCAGCAGCGACACCGGCAGCATATATCGCTTCAGATGTAGTCGACGCCGATTGTTGCGCGCGCGATGCGCCGCTCTGTTTGTGAGGTAGTGCCACATACTCTTGGGTCGTAGCTTCGGATGATGTAGAGAGGGTTACGGCGACAGGATTCTCGCGGATGTATGGAGCGCGTTGCGCGGCTGCGGCTTGACGCGGTCTGAACATGTCCGCTACTTTAGACCTGCTCCACGATCCGTTGAGTGTTGGAGTCCAACATGTACTGGGGTGGTATTTGGGCTGGGTGAGTTTACCTTCAATGGGTGGAAGCTGTTCCTCGCCAATATACTGAGTGCCCACGGTGTCAGCCGCAGCTCGGGATGTGGGTGTTGTGTCTGCTGAATGGGCGTGGCAGATCCATAAATGCTGCCTATTATCTCCAGCCAAACAAAACATAAACGAACAACACGACCATATAGACCAATAAAAAGAAGCACAAAGAAACCAAGGGGCGGTGTTCCCACACCGAGTGAGCAAAAACATCGTACAGGGGCAACACTAATCATAAGCAGTTGTCGAAGACTAGACAGCGCGGAGGGGACGGCTCCAAGTTACCTCGCCTCCTGTAGGTTTTGTGGGGGGGGTACTTTTAGGAGAGCACAGTTGGATCGGCTAGAAACAGATTTCGGGGGGAGGGGGGAGGATTAAAAGGCTGTAGAGGTTAGCCGTTTAAAGTTTGTGAGCAAGAGAACTGCGTGATGTGCAAGTGCGAAAGTAGAGAAAGCGGTGTTTGTGCTAAATTCCTTGGGCATTTATGGCAAAAGTCCTTCTCGGAACTCCGAGTTACGACTAATGCACGAAATATCAATGTCGCCGTGCGAGAGGGCACTGTTACACTGAAACGCGTCCTTGCGCTTGTGGGAAGTGCGCATACTAAGGGAGGTCAAAATGACCTCACATATCTCGCTGTGGGCGAAGCTCGTACGTCAGCTGTACCCGCTAAGGGCTCGATGGTATTGACGCAATTTTGGAATGAGAGTAGAATGTTGAGATACCGAGACCATCCCGCGGCAGCTAGCAAAATTATTCCAAGGCGCATGTACAGTAGGAATGATTAAGCGGGAAGTAGATAGACGTTACGCTCCATCGGGCGCCTGAGCTTGTGGTTACAAAGGGCGGCGATGGGTTGCTGACGCGATGGGATATGTCCGTTGCAGAGAAAGATTCCTGGCAGTCGGGATTTCGATGGCGCAGCGACCAGTGCGGATTGCGATGACTATCAACAGCTTGGTCGCGCGGTATCATAGGCGAGGCACGGCCGATGCAGAGGGCGTACCCGTGTCTGGTACGAAGGCCGAGGCAGGTGGATGCGTTATAGATACGCACGGCGCATCCGATGAAGTTCAGCAGCCAAGAGAAACTGCCATCTTCGGACTCAGGCTGACGTAGATAGCTGACGGATGCATTTAAGTGCCCGCATTTTTATAAGGCGGCTATTTTTCTCATTGAGGCAGTTGGTCCCTTGCAATAGGGACAGGTAGTTGACTACGACGCATCATGAACCTGCAGCAGGTGATGCCTTGAGCGGCGCCGGACAAGACGTGGGGCGGATCGTAGCTCTCGGGTCACCGCCGAGCGCCAGTATGCAGGAGGTAGAAGGATGTGATAGCCGCAGACAGGAATCTTTCAACACGGACCGGACGGCGATGTCTGCAGAGGAGCGCCGCTATCGATTCATGAGGATGCCTGCGGGATTTATGTACGAGAATGACGGCTGGCGGCGGCGTATCATCTGGACTACCGACAGGATATTGCCGACGGCTGCTCGCCGTAGGTTCGTCTGTAGGCCTCGAGGAAATCCAGTAGGTCCTTCGGGTGTAAAGCCGGGCTGCGTGACGAGAGAAGTGGTGCTCCAGCACCGATTTTTCTGCGGGTGAGGAGCGAACTTACTCAACTCTGATCTGATGTCCCGGTTGGTATGATCAACCGTCGCGCCGATGCACAAAAGTCGGTCTGCATCGCTAGCAGCGCACGTCCCGCGAAGTCCGCTGCCCCTCCGTTCATACGGGTACTGGAGCGTATGAGGAAGAAACTCGTTCGTTGTGCGACTCGTGTTATCGGCTTGGTGTGTCTCAGCGCTGCAGGTGTGGATTAAGTTATCGCCGCCGCACGACTAAAACGTTCTGAGTCCGAGCTGTGCAGCAAAAGTAGGCTCTGGGCGCAAGTATGTTCATGTTCTCCGTGTCGCGATGGTGAAGGCGACTTCTTTGCCTGTGTCCGCTCTGATGAATGCCGCAAAAAGGCTGAGTTGCGCGCTACACTCGACTGCCGTCGTTGTACGGCACGGAGATGAGGCAATCATGCGTCAAGTCTCGGCGCCGCATCTATGTCGACTCCGTAGGCTGCGCCATCTGGGCGGCCGAGTAAGTCGCAGATGACAAAGAGCTGACCGCACGCTCGGAGGGTGTATGTCAGCGATTTTGGTCATATCCCGCCATTTTCGCCGCGAATTGTGCGATGAGTGCAGAGACTGCCGGCAGAGGTGGCGTGTACCATTGGACCGCCGGCAATCCGGTGCAGAGAGGGATTATCGCTACTTTCCAGCCGAGGGACCCGTTCTTTGACGGTATGAGCGAGATGCGGTGGCCGTCGTCGCACTTGTAGCGTTCCTCGCGTACTTCGCGGCGCTTGCCTGACAATGACGATTGGGTCATTTCTTTGTGGCAGAACGGGCAACTGACAAGGTATATCGCTCTGTTGCGAAAGCGACGGAGTTGCACATGAGTAAGCGTATCCGCAAGCTTGCCAAACGTCCCGTTGTACCGGAGGACGTAGCGAGTGCCCGTACTCATGAGGCTCCTCTTTCTTCTATGGGCGTTGGGTGGAATATAAGCATAGTCCACATACCCGCATTGCAGGCACTGGGGTTCATCGTAGTTGATGCGCAGTTGCGTTTCGCATCTGGGGCATATCAACTCCTGATTGGGAGAAGCGACCTCAACGATTTGGGGTCTCTCAGTAACTTGTTCCGGGTACTCATTGAAATCTTGAACCTGAACGACCATCACATCCTCCTCTATCCGCCTAATAGCTTCCTCTGACATGCTTCGGGAAATTCCCCGCGCTAATCACCGAATTTTGGCGCAAAGACTCCCCTGACAAGATGTCGTCTTGAATTTTTGCTTGCCGTTGCAACAAGCACGCACCCATAGACTTTGAGACGTTAACTCAGCGAGTCGCCGGTTGTTAGAAGTCCCTTATCTTCTTGTGAAAAGCGCCCTAAAGAGCGGAGCTGATTACCATTTCAGCACTTGACCTTTTGTGCAAATTTCACACATCCGAACGACTGCTTAGAATCTTATGGGAAATGTGTTAAACATAGACTAAAACTTTGTTAAAAATGATGTCAAGGTGAAAACGCTGAATTTTCGCCCAATTTAAGCAGGATTTCTAGACGCCTGTAACAAGGCGCGCAGAGCTAACAACCAGTCAATACAGGCGTCTAGAGAAAGATACCGTCTCAGAGTAATTGAGACTGGTCGTCTGTTGCTTTACGATAGGAATTAGTCGGTTTCATGGCGAATTTAAAACCAATTTCTAGTCCCGGTTTATTACCGTTTGGGATGGATTTCACAAGGCTTTGGTACATTTAATCTACTAATATATTTACAATCTTCTATAAACGATACTTATGATTTGTGAAATGAAATTATACAATCTCTGAACGTGATTTTGGAGAAAAATAATACATACGTCCAGCAAAATCGCCGTGATGTATGAAGATAGCAGAGATATATAAATCGGTTGGCATTGAGAGATCAATTATGCGCTTCCGTAGCCTACTGTATATTTGACACTCAACCCACAGGCTAATAACATTTGGGTAAGCAAAGGGCACAGAGCATAGGAATCGCTTGAGAGTTTGTTGTCGCACTCAGTGGCGTAAGCGTCAACCGCTGGAGAATAAGCGCATGAACATAATCTGGATTACCGCAGACACTTTCCGCCAGGACCACATGGGTGCGTACGGTCATAAGACTATACGGACTCCGACATTGGATGCCTTGGCTGCGAAAGCGACGCGCTTCAACAGACATTATGCCGGAGGCTTTCCGACGATGCCGACGCGCGCAGACCATGCGACGGGACGCTGGACGATGTCCTTTATGGGATGGGAGCCGCTGCCCGAGGACGAGGTTACACTAGCGCAGATTCTGGCCGAAAACGGGTATCACACGGCTGCAGCGATTGACACGCCGTTCTACATCCGCGGGGAAATGAACTACGATCGCGGGTATCAGACCTTCTTCTTTCATCCGGGTCAGGAAGGTTCGCCAACTCGCGTTCAGCAGGTTGGCAACCATGAATCGCGAGACATTCGCGATAGGTGGCGACTGGAGAAGGACCATAACGCGCCGCAGACCTTTGCAAACGCAATGAACTGGCTGGAGACTCACTACAAAGAGGACTTTTTCCTTTATATAGACACCTGGGATCCGCATGAGCCTTGGGAAGCGCCGCCATATTACTCTGAGCTGTACTGGCCTGGCTATGATGGCGAGATCATTCAGCCAATATACGGGCATTGGCAGGACGAGCCGGGATTCTCCGCAGAGAAGGTGAAGAAGGCGAACGCAACTTACTGCGGCGAAATCACGATGGTCGATACCTGGATCGGTTACTTCCTGCGGCGAGTGGAGAACATGGGTCTGATGGACAAGACCGCCATAATCTTCACTTCCGACCATGGCTTCTACTTCGGAGAGCATGGTGGGAAGTTCGGTAAGATGTCCTTCGACAAGCGCGAAGGTGGTGGACTGTATAGGTTCGGAGACTCCGATGCGCGTTGGGCGCATTCTCCTCTGTACGAGGAGTTAGTAAGGATTCCGCTAGTGGTATATGTGCCCGGTGTGGAGCCGAGCGTGTATGACGGAATGACCTCTGTGGTGGACGTTATGCCGACCGTACTGGACATCGCGGGTGTGAGCTCCCCCGGCAATGTTCATGGAGCCTCATTGCTGCCGAGGATGCGTGACAGTAGTGCCGCGGGACGCGAATTCACAGTGAGCACGATACCGTTCGCGAATCCGGGAGACGAGGTGCGCTCGGTGGACAGTATCAGGCGCAACCTGGTCAACTCGCAGGTGACCACGATTACGGCGGGCGACTGGTCGTTACTTTACAGCATGGACGAGGGAATGTCGGAACTGTACAACCTCGCCAACGACCCGGCGCAGGAAAACAACATCATATCGGGAAACTTGGGAGTGGCAAAAGAGGTTCATCGGTATCTGCTGAAATTCATGCGTGAGACAGGAGTGTCTGACCATCTTCTGAAACCGCGCCAGGAGTTCAGGCTTTAATCCGCGCAGCTTCAATATTTTGGCTCTTGTAAGTGCGCGAGGTCTGTCTTCGCAGATTTACTGAGCGATTTCAAGATTGATAGGACAAGAAAAGTATGGCATTAAACATAATCGTGTGCGTGAAGCAGGTTATGGATCCGGAGACGCCTGCGTCCGCTTTCAATATAGACGGTGACGCTAAAAGAGTCGTGCCTGCCCCCGGGATTCCCCCAGTTGTGAACGGGTTCGACGAGAATGCGGTGGAGGCGGCGCTGCGGCTCAAGGACGGCGGAGATGCCGCAAAGATAACCGTCATATCGATGGGTAGCGGCTTCGTGATGGACGTAATGAAAAAGCCGCTGTCGATGGGGGCCGATGAACTGATTCTGATTGATGACGAAGCGCTGAGCACACTCGATGCCTATGCAACTGCAGCGGTGTTGGCTGAGGCTATAAAGAAGGTTGGCGAATATGACGTCGTCCTTTGTGGCAGGCAAGCATCCGATTGGGACCAGGCGCACGTGCCTCTGGGCATAGCGGAAATGCTGGAACTCCCCTGTGTTACGCTGGCACAGAACATTGAGGTCGCCGGAAGTGGCATTGTGGTGCAGCGGGCACTATCGGACGGTTACGAAGTCGTGGAGGCACCACTGCCCGCGCTGGTTACAGTGACCAATGAGCTCGGAGAGCCGCGTTATCCCACACTGCGGGGTATAATGCAGGCGAGCCGTAAGCAACCCACAAGATGGAGTACCGCAGATGTGGGGCTGGACGCTGAAGCGCTTGAACCCAAACTCACGCTTACGGAGCTTTTCATTCCAGTGAGCGACAATCAGGTTGAAGTAATAGAGGGAGAGGATGACGCGGATGCTGGCAGGAATCTGGCTCTGCGGCTGCGTGAAGAGAGGCTGATTTAGACGAATCGTAGGCCACTTGAGGAAGACTTTGGATATCTATCGTTCTCATCCCTGACCTTCCCCTTTCAAAGGGGATTGGATCAAGTATTTTTTGGAGATTTGAAATATGGCTGGGGTTCTTGTCATTGGCGAACTGAATGATGATGCACTTCAAAGCATTACGGGAGAGTTGCTGGCGGCGGGCCGCCGCATTGCTGATGTGACGGGCGAAAATGTGGGCGTAGCGCTGCTGAATGGTGGCGATGCGGTAGGACAGGAAACGATATCCCTGGGAGCTGACAACGCATATCTGGTTCAGGACGAAGTGCTTGCAGAAATGCAACTAGATGCGCAGGTTGCGGCGCTCGAGAAGGTCTGCAGCGAGGTTCAGCCGTCTGTCGTACTGATTGGGCGCACGCTTGCCGGCAGAGATGTCGGCCCGAGGCTTGCGTTCCGATTGGGCGTAGGACTGGCGCAAGACTGCTTGCAGGTAGAGGCGGATGCGAACAGCGGAAGGGTCGTTGCAGTGCGACCAGTGTACGGCGGCAACGCTCTGGCGAAGGTAACATTCCCGGATGCGAATCCTCAGATGGTTGTAATGAGGGCGAAGGCTTATGAGCCGCTTGATGCGGACGATTCGCGCGCTGGCGAAGTTTCGATTATCAACCCCGGTCTGGACTCGTCGGTGGTCAAGGCACGACTCGTTGAGACGGTTTCGCAGGCGGCAGAAGGCGTGCGTTTGGAAGACGCGAATATCGTAGTAGGTGGCGGAAGAGGTCTCGGAGGGCCTGAGCCTTTTGACCAATTGGAGGATCTTGCCAGATTGCTTGGCGGCGCCGTAGGAGCTTCTCGCGCGGTGTGTGACGCGGGCTGGCTTGACCACAGCTATCAGGTTGGGCTGACCGGTAAGACTATAACGCCGGACCTGTACATAACAGTTGGTATTTCGGGGGCGAGCCAGCACATGGCGGGCTGTTCGGCATCGAAGAATATCATCGCAATCAACCGTGATGCAGACGCAAATATTTTCAAGAGCGCGAGCTTCGGAGTTGTTGGAGACTGGAAAAATGTGCTGCCGTCTTTTATCGAGACGGTTCGTGAGTTGGTGAATTCCTAATTGTTAACAGCATTGAGTATTGATGAACGAGAAGTGAAAGATAGAATCTGACCATTCAAGAATTCTGACTGAATTTTCGATTCAATTAACGCTGTTAGTCTGCTGAGCAAGGAGTCGTACAATGAACAGCGATTTCATGTTCGATATAGACGGAATGCTGAAATCCATCGATAACGCCGATGTGATATCCATATTCTTTCCGTCGTTTCGCAAGGCGCTAGTGGTTGATCCGCGTAGCAATGACAGGCATAGCGCGTTGGTGCAAATAGCGCCGATGGCGGCGTCTCCCCAGGAGCGTCTCCGGCTGATCCGCCGTCAGCGACCAGGACTGCCAAGGGTGCGCAATCTTGCTGTAATCCCATGGACGCGCTATGTGGACAGCCTTGTCAGTCTCGGGCTGTGGGACAAGGTTATCAAGCGGTTGGAGGACGGAGGAGAGGACGAGGCGATAGGTCAATGCGAGCGGGCCTTGGATGAACTCCGCGAGATGGAGCGTATAGAGTTGGTCAACGCCATCACAGGGAAGAACTACCAGACTATCTGGACGGCGCCTGGTGACTGACGGGCGCCGTCCCGGATAGAGAACCTCGCGAACCTGTCTCTCCGCTCGCTGAATACGCAAGGACATGCTATCTAGAAACGGCTGAAATTGTGAAAGTGAAAGGGGCAGTTCTCATGAGATGAGAACTGCCCCTTATTTTCGGTTCTCGTTGCTTGTTATGCGCGAGCCGCTTCCTGCTCTCTAAGCTGCTCTACTATTCGGTCGACAAGGTGTGCGGGGACTTCCTCGTAGTGATCGAACTCGATGGTGAACGCTCCTCGTCCTTGGGTCATGGAGCGCAGTTCTGTGGCATATCTCAACATTTCCGCCTGCGGGGTTTCGCCCTCGATCATCGTTGTGCTGCTGCCTTGAGGCGTCATACCGTGGATTCTGCCTCGCTTGGAGTTCATGTCGCCGATTATGTCGCCGGTGTAGTCATCGGGCACAACAATCTGCACTCGCATAATAGGCTCGAGCAGGGTAGGTGATGCCAACTGCACGCCCTTGGTGAGCGCCTGGCCACCAGCGATTTCGAAGCAGATGCCTGAAGAGTCAACGGTGTGATAGCTGCCGTCGAAGAGAGTTGCCTTGACATCCACGATTGGATATCCCGCGATTGCGCCTCCGGTCATTGCCTTTGCAACACCTTTTTCGACAGACGGTATGTATTCGCGCGGCACATTGCCCCCCACGACTTTTTCGGCGAACTCGAAGCCACCGCCTCTTGGCAGGGGTTCAAGTTCCAACCAGACGTGTCCGAACTGGCCATGACCGCCGGACTGCTTCTTATGGCGATATTCCACGCGCGTTCTGCCGCTAATGGTCTCCTTGTAGGCAACCTTGGGGGTCTGGAGAATCATCTCAGCGCCGAACTTGTTCTTCATCTTCTCAATGGCTATGTCCACATGAGTGTCGCCCAGTCCGCCGAGAAGCACCTGGAGCGTGTCCGGTTCACGGGTCACCGTAAGGCTTGGGTCTTCCTCTGTAATGCGAGAGAGCGAACTGGTCATCTTGTCAACGTCGGCTTGTGATTTGGGGAAGACGGCCATCAAGTACACTGGCTTGGGGAATTCCATGCCTTCCAAAGTGAACTGGTTGTCGCGCGTGCAGATTGTGTGTCCGGTCAGGACGGAGTTGAGCTTCGGGGTCGCGCCGATGTCACCCGATGCGAAGTCCGAGCCAGCCGTCTGCTCTTTGCCGCGCACTTCAAAGACTTGGCCGACGCGTTCCGCCTGTCCAGCATTTGCGTTCCAGAGCTGGCTGTCGCTGCTGAACGTACCGCTGTAAATCCTAAAATACGAAAGTTTCCCCACAAACGGGTCGGCGGCGGATTTGAAGACGAGTGCGGCGAGAGGTCCGTCGCTGTCGGGGCTGAGTGATACCTCGCCATCCGCGGTGTCGGCTGAGACCTCGCCGACGTCTGCGGGAGAGGGCAAGAAGTCCACAATGGCGTTCAGGAGGTCGGCAGTTCCGATTTCCGATGTGGACGCTCCGAACAGCACGGGGATGATTAAGCCATCGGCTATTCCCTGTTTAAGGCCGGCAATCATCTCGGTCTGGGTGATTTCCTCGCCTTCGAGGTACTTGTCGGCGAGGTCCTCGTCAGCCTCGGCCACAGCTTCCACGAGGCGCTCTCGGGCTTCTTCGACTTCGTCTGAAATCTCAGCAGGCACGTCTGCGCTGGGATCGAGTAGGTTGACTACTCCTGAGAAAGCGGACTCGGCACCGATAGGAATCTGCACCGGGACGCATTCTCTGCCGAAGCGATCGGAAATTTCGCCCATGATGCGGTCAAAGTCCGCGTTCTCGCGGTCCATCTTGCTGACATAGATAACGCGAGGGAGATTGCGGTCGTTAGCCAGAGCCCACATCTGGTTTGTGCCCACTTCGACGCCAGAGGCGGCTGATACGACTACGATCGCCGCGTCGGCCACACGCGAGGCAGAGACAACCTCGCCTCGGAAATCGGCATACCCGGGTGTATCGAGGATATTAATTTTGTTGCCGCGCCATGGACATGCCAGCACGGACATCTGGGAACTGGACTGGCGACGAATTTCTTCCGGCTCAAAGTCGGATACGGTCGTGCCGTCTTCTACCCTGCCAAATCGTGTGATGTGACCGGCCGTGTGCAGCATCGCCTCTGCAAGTATAGTCTTACCTGCGCCCCCGTGTGACAGCAGAACTACATTGCGCAATTTGTCGGTTGAAAATTTAGGCATACTGCTCTTCCCTCCGGTTAGGATTATATTCCCCAATTCTATTCAAAGGTTCAAAATCGTGCAACTGCTGGTTTGGGGAAGGAAATAACCCATCTGGCGGGCTTCCTGTGTCGGGAAATGGACTCATTTTTTCCCGCCTTCGCTTGGCTATGCGTAGCGTGAACCACTGTGGGGAAATTCCGACTAGGCGAATAACCGGCTCACCCATTTAATTGGCGTAAACTTTGCACTAAAGGGATGTGGCGTCTATAATCAGATGTCGAACTGATTCTGAAACAGCGTTCTTTAGTAGTCGCTCTCCAGGGTATCGTTACCAGAGGGTGACCTGAACAGGGCTTAGAAATTTTGGCTATCCGGGAAATTTTGCAGCTACCTCATCCCTTGCTAAGGCAGAGGGCACGGAAGGTGCGCACTATAGACGAAAACGTGCTGCGGCTCGCATACGACATGGTTGATACCATGCGGAAGGCTAACGGCGTTGGACTTGCCGCGAATCAGGTCGGGGAAGTTCGGCGTGTGATAGTGATCCAACTTCCGGATGAAGAAGAGGCGCGCATTTACGTCAATCCTGAGATAACACTCAGGGAAGGGGAGCGCCGAGTTGAGGAAGGCTGCCTGAGCATAGCCGGATATAAGGGCATGGTCACGCGCTCGGTCTGGGTGAAATTCCGCGCACTTGATCACACTTCAACGCTCGTCAAGCTGAAGGCCGAGGATACTCTCTCACAAGCGTTGGAGCACGAGGTCGATCACCTCAACGGCATCCTGTACATTGACCACATGGAAGCCCACGAGAAACTGGTCAAAGTGGAACCGGATGGCGAAAGCCCGGCGGATTCTGATGTCGATGATAATTCGGAGATCGGAGAGCCCGATACCGGAGACACCGATAGAAGGGGAAATGCCTCCAATGAAGCGTCCCATCATTCGGACAGTGGCTTGTGGCTGCCGGAACAAGATTCGCGCAACACCCCCGCAACCTTAAAGCTCAAGTAAACTGAGCATAAAATTCGCCGCAAATCACAAGAATTGATGCACAATTTCATCGCGGCAACAGACCTCTCAATCTGATCTCATGAACGAAGCACCCCCAATTTCGCACTATACTGCCTTGTCCAACGCCACACGCTTGCCTTCGGCGGTGGAGACGCTCGTCGAATTTTTCGGCAGTAGGGATGTTGAAGCGTATTTTGTGGGTGGTGTGGTTCGAGACACGCTGATGGGACGCAAGTCCGAAGACATCGACATTGCAGTGAGTGTCGATGCTGTTACGATTGGGCGTCAACTCGCCGAGGCTCTTGGGACACATTGCGTAAGCCTTCATGATGAATGGCAGGTGGCGCGCATGGCGCTGAACGATGCCGAGTGGTCAGGCTATGTTGACATCGCCACTATTCAAGGCGATATCGAATGGGATCTGTGTCGGCGGGACTTTACTATCAATGCAATGGCGCTGCCGATGAGCGAGGCGTATCACGACGATGTTGAGGAGCGCTTGCTTGATCCGTGCGGTGGCCTGCCGGACTTGCACGCCGGCGTAGTTCGGATGGTGTCACCTAGTGCGTTCGACGCGGATTGCGTGCGTCTCATGCGCGGCGTGAGGCTGGCGGCTCAGTTCGAGTTTTCACTAGACAGCGAAACTGCCGAAGCCATTCGAGAACGCGCTGCCCTCATTTCAGACGCGCCTAGGGAGAGAGTGCGCGATGAGTTGATGCGGCTCCTGAGAACAGACCAAGCGTATGATGGGGTTCGACTCTTGGATGAGTTGAGGCTTCTTTGCACCGTAATGCCGGAACTTGCGAATGCCAAAGATGTCACGCAACCCAAAGAACATTATTGGGATGTGTTTAATCATCTGATAGAAGCAGTTGGCTGGGTGGATGCGATGTTCCGTGGCGACTGCGATGATGTCTTTCCATTGAATTTTGTACCGCGCTTCGAGGGCATGGCTGAATACTTTGACAGAGACGTGAGCGATGGGTTTGACAGGCTGACATTCCTGAAGTTGACGGCGCTTCTGCACGACATTGCCAAGCCTTCGACCAAGACGGTCGAAGATTCGGGGCGCATTCGGTTTATGGGGCATCACTCTGAAGGTGCGGAAACAGTGCGAGATATTCTCACGCGGCTGCGGTTCGGCAAACGGGGAGTGGAACATGTCGCCGGAATGGTGCAGCAGCACCTTCGCCCGACTCAGATGGCGCAGAAGGGCGAAATGCCGACCGGTCGCGCGCTATACAGGTACTACCGCGATGCGGGGGACATTGCGCTGGATACGCTTTACCTGAATATGGCAGACTATCTTGCGGCGCGAGGACCGGCGCTGGAGCGAAGTGATTGGGTGAACCACTGCAGCCTGATGCAATACATCCTCGAAGAAGGCCAGTCTAGTGAAAATAGAAAGCGCAAAGAGTCAGTGCAATCTCTTCCTAAGTTGGTCGATGGATACGATATAATAGATAGGTTCGCGCTTGCTTCAGGACCGGGAATCGGCAAACTGCTGGAGACGGTCCGAGAGGCGCAGGCAAGCGGAGAAGTTAGTACGAAAGAGCAGGCGCTGGAGCTGGTGCGTGCCAGCCTTGAGCGTGGAGGTGATGGTGCGTAGGAACGCAAGAGCGTTAATTGCGATATTGCTGTTGATAGTTGGAGCCGGGCTTGTGCTTGGCTTCCAGACCATCAAGATAGGCCCGTTTGAGCGAGGCGGCAATACACTTCTTGGTCTGAGTCTGGGACTGGACTTGCAGGGTGGCAGCCACCTCGTATATCAGGCGGAACCTACCAGTGATGAGGGCAGAGCCGAATCGCAAGCGCCGGATGCGGACGACATGTTGAGCCTCCAGCGCATCATTGAGAGGCGCGTGAACTCATCCGGGCTGGGTGAGCCAATCATCCAGATTCTGGGTGATGACAGACTTTTGATACAGCTGCCCGGTGTGCGTGAACCTGCCCGAGCAAAGAGCATAATTGGCGAAACGGCACAACTTGAGTTCAAGCACCGCCAACTCGGGCATCCCGCGCAACCTCGCGACTGAGGGAGTTATTACCGATGCTGATATCGTTAGCGTAACTGCCGAGCCGATACCTGACGAACTTCTGCCGGACGCCGAGACGACTGCCACTCCGGAGGCGGGCGCGGAAACTTCGGCGGCTGTGGACGAGGAAGCTATACCGGTGATAATTGTGGAGTTGACGCCTCAGGGTGCCGCGAAGTTTGACGAGGTTCTGGCGAATCTCAGCGCAGAAATTCCAAGTCGCGGCTCGCGAGTTCGAATATATGTCACTTTTCAGGGTGAACTCCGATCCGGCGTCCTGCCGGGGCTAAATGTCACGATAACGGCAATGAAACGATTAATGGCGTGATTTGCGCCGCCATGGGATAAGCAAGTTAGAGGGCACAAGTAGGTATGTTTTCCCTTATCCGCAGCCACAGCCGGAACCGGCTCAGCCGGGCGAAACGCCGGTAGAAGTGGAACCTGACAACGTGGCGGCAGCGCAGATCAGGATTGGCGACGATGCCACGGTGATCTTCATTGAACAACCCGGGAGGGTTGACGAGGACTTCGGACTTGGCGGCGACAACTTGTCGAGAGCGTACGCCAGCCTGCACGCGCAGAGCGACCAGCCCATAATTAACTTGGAGTTCGACTCACTGGGAACGCGTCTTTTTGGTGAGAAGACGACCGAGATAGCAGGCAGTCTCACGGATTCCATAGCCATCTTCCTTGACGATCAGGAGTTGATTGCGCCCGTGGTGCGAACGCCGATCACGACCGGCACTGCAATCATCGAGGGCGGTTTCACGCTGGAGAGGGCGCAGGACATATCGCTGCTACTTGAAGGCGGTCGCCTTCCGTTCCCGATTACGCTGATTCAGGAGCGGAGTGTCGACGCCATTCTGGGATCGGACTCCCTCGCGAAGAGCGTACTGGCAGGCATCGTTGGATTTGCTCTGGTGTTCCTGTTCATGACGCTGTACTACCGAGTGCCAGGACTTGTGGCTTCGATTGCCCTGCTGATATACACCGCCTTTGTGCTTGCGATCTTCAAACTGCTTCCAGTGACGCTGACGCTGTCCGGAGTTGCAGCGACAATACTTTCGGTGGGCATGGCGGTTGACGCCAATGTGCTGATTTTCGAGCGTATGAAGGACGAACTGCGTAACGGTCGCACCCTTATTGGCGCCATCAACATAGGATTCAACAGGGCATGGCCCGCAATTCGTGACAGCAACGTGTCCACGCTTATCACTTGCGCCATCCTGTACTACTTCTCGAACCAGTTGGGAACGACGATAGTTCAGGGATTTGCGGCGACCCTGGCAATTGGCGTAATGATCAGCATGTTCTCTGCGATTATGGTCAGCAGGACTATATTGCGCGTCAATCGCTTCGACTGGGCTCGCAAGACTGCTGGGCGCGTTTGTGCCGACCGGAGCATCTGAACTGCCGCAACAATCCGTTTCGACAGCTGTGCAGAGGAGCTAGCAACCAGCGTCTTAAACATGGCCTGTTTAGACTCACATTTTAGAATTTCAACTGGTGTTGTCCGTCAGGAGCAATAAATTGGACTTTGTAGGCAAAAGAACTTGGTTTTTCCTGTTTTCGTTTATCGTCATTTTGCCGGGTGTGGTGTTCCTCATCATTAACCCTGGACTGCGCATGGGCATCGACTTCACCGGCGGCTCCACGATGACCATCAAGTTCGAGAATCCTGTTACGCAGGACATACTGAGGTCTGAATTGACGCGCATCGGCCAGGTTGACGCGACGGTGCAGAGCTTTGGGGACAACACTTATTTCATCCGCACGCGAGAACTCTCGGATCAACAGAAGGACGGATTGGTGGGCGCCCTAGAGGCTAGTCTGTCGCCCCGATGGCATAGATGTGTCGTCCGACTTTGTGTCGCCGGTTGTGGCACGAGACACTATACTGAACGGCATCTACGCTGTAATTGCAGCAGCAGTAGGTATTTTCCTATACCTGTGGTGGGCATTCCGCAGTGTCCCACGCCCGTTTCGATATGGTATCGCCGCTATCGTAGCGTTGGTGCATGACCTATTGATTGTAGTGGGGATATTTGCGATTCTCGGCAACCTGCTAGGGCTGGAAGTGAACACGATGTTCCTGGTCGCGGTGTTGACGGTCATCGGATACAGCGTCAATGACACCATCGTAGTCTTCGACAGACTACGTGAGAATGTAATCAACTATGGCAACCGCGGATTCACGCAGAATGTGAATGTGAGCATATCTGAGACGATAGGGCGCTCGCTGAACACGAGCTTGACGCTGCTGATAGTGTTGGTGGCGCTGCTACTTTTTGGCGGGGCAACGATTCGCACTTTCCTGCTTGTGCTCATCATCGGCGTTGTCGCGGGGACTTACAGTTCGATTGCGGTTGCGAGCCAAGTATTGGTGGCTTGGGAGAGCGGGGATTTCAGGCGGATGTTGCCGTTCGGCAGGTCGGCTGCAGCGTAGTCGTATGGCAGTTGGGCGAATTCAATTATCGTCCAATTCTAACAATATGACCTGAGTTGTCGCACACTTTCCTCATAGCGGCGGCGGGATGAGCGCGACTCTTCCGAATGCAGTTGCCGTGCGCATCAGTCCGATGGCTTCCGCGGCCTCTTCGAATGCAAATTGTTGTGAGACGCCTGGACTTATCTCGCCGCCTGCCACCATCTGGATCGCCCTGTGAATGTGGCGAGGTGACGCGCCCGTAGAGCCTAATATCAATGCGTCGCGGAACAGCAGTTCAGCCAAGTTGAAGCGCGCAGCTCTTCCTGCAATTTCGCCGAGCACCACCATTCTGCCGAATTGCGCAAGGCTTGCCACGCATGAGCCAAAGAGCGCGGAGCCGACAGGGTTCGCTACAACATCAGCGCCCCTGTCTTCCGTAAGCGCGAGGACGATTTCGGAGAAGTCCAGCTCGCCGTCCGCCAGAATTGTCTCCACTCCTCGAAAAGATTCCAGCGCGCCAAGCTTCTCAGGAGAAGTGGTAACTGCCAAGACTCGCGCGCCCATGGCTGCCGCGACCTGCGCAAGATGCACGCCAAGGCCGCCGCCCGCGCCTACGATCAGCGCGGTTTCGTTGGGTTGGAGTCGTGCTGCGTCTTCCAGCGCGTTGACCGCAACGCCGATGGGACAGGCAAGCAGTGCGGCTTGTATAAATGTCAATGGATTCGGGGATAGGAATTGCGCTGGAAGCAGGTACGCTCATGTATTGGGCAAAGCCGCCGTCGAGTGCATGTCCGAAGCCCCGCCCGCTCATGCAGCGATACTCGTTTCCGGACGCGCAGCGGCTGCATTCGCCGCAGTAGGCTGTTAGGGAAACGACGATCCTATCGCCGGGTTTCACGGAAACTACGTCGTCACCAATTTCCGCGACGACTCCGGAGACCTCATGCCCCAGCACGATGTCAGGCTTGACGCCGCGCCGCAGTGTACCCTCGACAACTGCCACATCGTGGTAGCACACGCCACACGCGGCGACCTGAACGAGCACTTCATTGGCGCGTGGCCATGGCACAGCTAGTTCACGCAACTCAAAGTACGGCTTTTCACGGTCCGAATTGACGACAAGCGCTTTCATCGTTGCCGCTTGACGGTGAGGTGCAGAGTCAGATGTCACGGTCGAATGCCGTTAGTCTGCTGCCTGCTCGTCGGCGACAATTGCGGGTTGTAACAGGTCAACAACAGCGCGAATCGTGTCTCTGGTGGGGCGGTTTTTGTCCGCGTTTTCAGGTGTCTCGGAGGCGTATGGCGTTTGGCTCAGAAGACGGTACATTTCAGCAGCGCCTTGGTGGAATGATGGCGTTACGCCAAGATGCTCGAAAGTTGAAGCGATTTCCAGCATCTCGCCAATCCATCGGTGCGCGTTAGGCGGAAGGCGAGAAATGCCATTGTTCATTTGTCTGAGGGCGTCAGGCTGGCTGAACTCGAACTCGGCGATCAGTTCGTCTGTCAGGTTCATTGACTCCGCAGCCGAGAGCAGCGCGGACTGGAGTGTCGAAGTACCCTTGGTGAGGGCGGCGTAGCACATCTTGATGCCGGATGCCCTGCCTACTTCCTTGCCGATAGGCTTGACCGTGATGCCTTTACCGTCCAATCCCGCCACGACATCCGTATGTTCGCCGGACACGTAGAAGCGAGGAGGCGTTCCGCGAGTGGGTGAGCCGCCGATTATGCCGCCGTCCACATATTGACCACCCGCCTCCGTGATGATCGATTCTATCTTGCGAGTAGTTTGCGGGGAGACAGCGTTGCATTCGGCATATACCGCGTGCTTGCCGGAGGAGCGCATTGCTGCGGCGACCTGCTGGGCAACCGTAACCGCTTGGTCGGGAACAAGAATGGAAAGGATGAGGTCTGCCTGCTCAACGAGCAGACCTAGCGTAGGGATGTCTCGAAAGTGCGCTTCCGCAGCCAGTTGCCGGGTGCGGTTGCTGCGGCCTCGCAAGCAGGTAATTACATCAATGTCGTTCTGTCCAAGCGCGAATCCCACGCCTGAACCCATGTCTCCCGGGCTGAGTATGGCTACGGTATGGACGGACATAGGGGCACTCCTTCCTGTGCGGATGTGGATGGTCTTTAACTAACTGAAAAATAGCCATTGAAGAATACCAGAAATGCGCGCCGATGTCTCAAACTAACAGCAAAACGTGCATTTCCCAAATCTTGCAGGCGGTTAATTCTTCACGCGGGAAAATTCCGCTATTCAGGATATACCCATTCCTCGAAGGTGGGATTGGCTACCTGACCGTCTTCGTCCACTAGGTCGGATTCGGGCGAGTCAAACGTGAAGCCTACAATTCGGCTTTCTCCCGGTAGAAGGGGAGGATTGTCGGCTGAAGCAGCGGCGAATATCAGAGTTTCAGTGCCACTACCGTCGATATAAGCGAGGCTCCATCCTACGGTCGAGGGTTCGAGGACATATAGGCCGACGTCTCCGATTAATGTAACGGGATCGCTGAAAGTAACCTCAACATCGCCGTTGCCATTCTTCGTGAGAGCCACTACCTGGGCACTTCCGAATTTCCACCAATGCTGCCTGAGCCGGGCGAAATCATGGATGCATCTGCCTCTATGTAGTTTTCCGGCGCATCGATTGTGAACGGCTCGTCATGGCTGCTGTATTGGAATTCGGCAATTTTGTTGCTCATTCCCTCTGCATCTACTATCAGCAGAGACACCGAGTCTTGTAGGAAGTTCTGGGCGTCGATCACCAGCTGAGTCAACAGAGGGGGCGCTTGTATTCCTGATTGCTCGACTGGAGGCTGGAAAGAGACGATGTACTGCGAGCCATCGTCGTTGAGCACAACTTCTTGCCACATTATGTCCCGATTGTCCAGTTCCTGCATCTGCTGCTCAACCATGTTCAAGGACAAGAGCATCGCAGCGGTCTCCTCCGGCGTGTTAGGAATCTTGACCCAACCTCCGGACGTGACATCGCTCACATAAGACTCGCCGTCCGCGAAGATGAACTGAATGATCTCGCCGTCAGGACCTGTCATGGTGATGCTAAATTCGTCAGGAAACACCCTGGCTACCTGCATTTGCATTTCCGGAAGCTCCGCGCCTGGTGGCAACTCTCCCGGCAGAAGCGCGCCTAGGTTAAAATCCACATCTGCTTTGACGCTGCGCAGACGACCCATCGCTTCGAAGCTGCACGACGCAATGAGTTTCGGATCGGTGAGAGAGCCGTCGGTGAGGCATTCAGGAGGCAATTCGGCCGCCATTGCATCTTCAGTGGCTGAGGTGGAATCTTCCACCTTGGCTTCCGGCACGGCCGTGGGAGACTCGACGCGGGCCGGAGTTGGCGACGCAGTCGGTTCCGGCGCAGGCGTTGGGCGTGGCGTAGAAGTGGGTATCTGCGTGGGTGAGGTTGCTGGCGTGGTTAACTGAGTCAGAGTGGAAGTTGAGACAGGATCAGGCGTCACGGCGGCCTGCACCGTGGCGGCCCCCACCGGCAAAGAAGGGCTACGGTTCTCCTCGTCTCCGCCGCAGGCGATTGCAGCGATGGCTATCGCTAAAGAACACATGCCTATGAAGAAAATGACAGCACCTCTCGCTGCCTTTCCGGCAATGTACGCCGCGAATATCGAGCTGTTCAATAGAATCTCCTTTGTTTTCACTCTCAGAGTGAGAATTGATCAGTCAAGATGAGGATGTCTGAGCATCAGGCCGTTAGCTGGATGGACTTCCAGCGTGGATGAACGCGAAAAGTGCGCCTTATCGGAAGACAATGAGCACATTATTTGTATATGCAGAAGTGAACAAATTAACAGTACCTTTATATATTATAGGCGGCATGCCGAGACCCGTGTAAGTAGTTATTGCACTATCTGAAATTCGGACGATCATGTTGGATAGGCACGGAGACGGCGCTACCTCACCCAGCCTGTTAGTAAGTATTCGCCTGCCCTGTTTTGCTTGATTTATAGCTGGAATTTTTGGATCAGCATTTCCACCGCGACACTGCGGTTGCACTTGCAAAGGATAGACATTATAGTCTGTCCATCAGTGCGGGAGCTTCTTTAGTTAACAACAGCATAGCCCGAGGAGGGAATCGTGAAGTGGTCCTTCAAGTTTGTAACGTTTGTTTCTATACTCATGATGACTATATTCGTGGCGTGCAGTAGTCCACAGCCTGTAGCTCCAGCTACCGCACCACAGGGGGGTGCGCCCGCACAGGCGCCGTCTGTGCCGGCGCAGGCTGTTGCTCCGCAAGCAGCACCTGCCATGCCCGCTGCTCCTGCTCCTGCCGCACCCGCTGCGCCCGCTATGGTGCCAGTGGCTACGCCTACGAGCGTGGTGTTTATTCAGCCGGGCGCCTACCCACGCGAGCCGCTCGTCCGGCCCCCGCTCCGTCTTCCCAGGAAGGACCTTCCGGCACTCTTGTCATTGGCGAGTCGGACATCGCATTCCCCGGAACGGTGCCGAGCCTGGTGTCTTGCCTCAGCCAGACCACCAGCCACCGCTACGGCGTTTATGAAGAGCCAAAGCGTTGGGATCTGATCGATCCTGTCATCGTACCCAATCTCGGTGAATCGTGGTCATACGACGATACCGCTACTGTGCTGACCTGGAAGTTAAAGGAAGGGGTGCAGTTCCACGGCGGCTGGGGGGAGATGACATCGGAGGACTGGAAGTATTCACATGAAGACATGGTCGCGGACGGTTCGATCCATTCCAACATCTTCATATCAAAGGCAAGAGTGCAGGAAGTAAGAGCCGTCGAAGCTTACACCGTGCAGTTCATTCTGGACAAGCCGAACATTTTCTTCATCGATAGTCAGTTCAACGGACCCGGAGGCTGCGGCTCATTCGGGATCGTGAGCAAGAACAGGACGGACTCGCTTGGGAAAGAGGAGGCTCACCTTGATCTTTCAGGAGGAACAGGTCCCTTCAGGTTCGTTAAGTGGGATTCGGGCGACCAGGTAGTGGTAGAAGCGGTGCCCGGGCATCATAGAAAAATCTCAAACTACGCGACGCTGAAGGGAGTGGAAATCAAGGAGCAGGCAACTAAGGTTGCAGCTCTGGCTGTCGGTGAGGTTGAATAGCGGTTGTGCCGGTCACGGAATCCGAAAGGCTTTCGGGCAGAGGGCTGGACATCAGAAGGTTGACCGGCGGCGGCTATCAGCGCCTATATCCGCAAGGCAGGTTCTGCATGCCGGAGACACTAGACGGCACAGTCGTCGATCCATATCCCAGGCCCGGATACAGCCCGGAGGCGCCATGGGTAGGGGAGTGCGGTAATGAAGCGGACGAGGAAAACGCCAGAATGGTGCGCTGGGCGATGTCCATGGCGATAAACCGTCAGGCGATCGTGGACAACATACTTGGCGGATTGGGAAGGCCCGCCGGTCCGGCAGAAATGTCCGGCGTGACATTCGAAAAGTATTTCCAGGACAAGTGGGCTGTACCGTATGATCCTGACCTGTCGCGCCAGTATCTTAGTGAGGCGGGCTGGCCGAACGGATTTGAAGCGACAATGAGAGTAACGACCTGCTGCCATCCGCTCGAGGTTGAAATTGGCGAGGCTATTGCCAAGTTCATGGAGGATGTGGGAATAAGTGTCAACATCGAGCTTCTCACTTATTCAGCAAACAGGCCCTCAGTAGTGGCGCGCGAGTTTGGCGATTGGTGGTTCCGCAGTTCAGGTCCCGGACTTGGGCTTAACCCCGAGATAGCCATGCTGCGGCGCAATCCCGTCGGCGCCTTCAACCCGGGATTCGAGGTGGCTCGGCCGCTTGAAATCATTGCAGAAATAGACGGCTGCCTTGATGCTGAGTGCATAGATAAGCTCCGAGAGGATCAGTGGGACTGGTGGCACGAACAGCAGCAGATTATCGGTGTGGTTGAGACTTATGGTATCTTCGCCGTAAATCCAGCCAAGGTGGGCGTCTGGACAATCCCGATCGGAGGTGCGGGGCTTACGGCATTTGAGTATGTGCAGAGGCCCATAGCATCCGCAACGCCGTGCGACCTTCTCCCTATGCTTCAACCTAGTTAGAGGGTGGGGAGAAGGCTTTCGCCTTGACAAGATTGACGCATGGGTTTTCTCCGCAGCCGATGCCGGAGATTGTCCATACGCTTACGGGGATGGACAGAGTGCAGAAGTTTCTATTGCGCCGCTTCGCGGCAGCAGTCGTCACGCTCATAACGGTCAGCGTACTGGTCTTTGCGCTCGCCCGACTGCAGGGAGACCCGAGGACCATACTACTATCGGATGACACTACGCAGGCCGACTATGATGCCTGGGGCAGGGAGTTCGGCCTGGACAAGCCCATAACGGTGCAGTATCTCATCTACATGGGCAAGCTGGTGCGAGGAGACTTGGGGAAGTCCGTACTCCAGCGCGTACCGGTGAGCAGGCTCATGTGGGCCAGAATTCCGAATAGTGCGCAGTTGGCTGTGGTGGCATTTGCTCTATCTATAATCATCGGCTTGCCACTTGGGGTCTTGGCAGCGGTAAAGAGAGGCGGTGCATGGGACTACCTTGCGAGGGCGATTGCCATTGTTGGGCATGCGGCGCCGTCCTTTTGGATCGGGCTGTTACTGATTTTCGTGTTCGCTGTTACGCTGGAGTGGCTTCCCACTTCTCGCAAGACAGGACTGGACAGCATGATATTGCCCGCAATTACGCTTGGATGGGCTTCAGCAGGAGGTCAGCTGAGACTGGTGCGCTCGTCAATGCTGGAGGTGCTGGACTCGGAATACATCAAGCTGGCACAGGCGAAGGGTGTTCCCAGGATGAGCGTGATATGGAAGCACGCGTTGCGAAATGCGATGATAGCACCGCTGACCTTCGCGGGTCTGACCTTCGCAGGGCTGATAACCGGCACCATCGTAGTGGAGACGATCTTCGCATGGCCCGGACTGGGATTGCTCTCGATCCAGGCGCTGAATAACTCGGACTATCCGGTAATTCAGGGGGTCATCCTGATGGTAACTCTGGTCTATGTCGTGGCTGCGCTGGCGGTGGACATCATCTACGCATACCTGGACCCAAGGATAAAGTACACATAAATGGCTGCCACTAAGGTCGGAACTGTACTCGCGCCCTCAAGGACATGGCGGACTGGTGTCAGCGTTAGCATGCTGCAACGCTGGCCAGTCTCGTCGATCATCATCCTTTCTGTGCTTTTTGTTGCGGCAGTGGGCGCGCCATGGGTTGCTCCATACGACCCCGCGCATGACGGTGCTCTGGACGACAGGCATATACCGCCCATGTTTTTTGGAGGAACCGCGGAGCATGTCCTTGGCACCGACCATCTCGGAAGGGACACGCTCACACGCTTGATCTACGGTGCGCACGCATTTCCATGATGGTGGCTGCGATAGTGCTGGTTATTGGCGGAGGCTTTGGTACGCTAGTAGGCTTGGTGTCAGGATACTTCGGGGGCTGGGTTGACGAGATTCTGATGCGCATTGTGGACATCAAGTTCTCCCTGCCGCTCATCCTGATTGCGCTGGCGCTCGCGATAATATGGGGTGCAAGCATTCAGCTGCTGATGGGATTGCTGGCGTTTCTAATTTGGGGCAGTTTCGCCCGTCAGGTGCGTGGCGAGGCGCTGGTGCTGAAGGAGACCGACTATGTGAAGCTGGCGAGGGTTGCCGGCGCATCGACTACGCGCATCCTGCACAAGCACATCTTCCCGGGAGTGATGAATACCGTCGTCGTAGTGGCAACCTTTCAGGTAGGATCGGTAATCTTGGCGGAAGCGTCACTGAGTTTCCTGGGCGCCGGTATTCCACCACCGACCCCTGCCTGGGGGTCTATGGCATCGGCGGGGCGACTTTACATCACAACCGCCTGGTGGGTTACCCTGATACCGGGACTTGCGATTGCTCTCACGGTGATAGCCTTTACGCTGTTGGGAGATTGGATCCGGGATAAGGTTGATCCACGCTTGCGTCAACTTTGACGAAACGCAGAAAATGAGATATGTAAGGTAGGGACTGCAATAGGTATAAACTCAACGGCATCCACTGAAGCACGGAGGCATGACATGAAGTACGACTACATCGTAGTAGGCGGCGGCTCCGCAGGTTGCGCTATCGCCACTCGGCTATCGGAGGACCCCGATCGCTCGGTACTGCTTCTGGAGGCGGGGCCGGATTACTCCGACTTCGATCACCTGCCAGACGATCTGAAGCTCGGCAACAATGTGTGGCTGTCAGCTTATGGGCCGCACAACTGGGGATATACTGCCCGGCTTACGGCCGAGCAGGATGACCTGATCATTCCCAGGGGGAAGGCAACTGGCGGCTCCAGCGCCGTGAACGGCCAGGTTCTGTTCAGAGGAATTCCGGAGGACTACGATCGATGGGCAGAGTGGGGCAATGACGAATGGGGCTTCACACAGGTGTTGCCGTACTTCAACAAGCTGGAGACCGATTTGGATTTCGGTGGTGACGACTTTCACGGCTCAAATGGGCCCGTGCCTGTGCGCCGCACGCCTCGCAGCGAATGGATGTCGCACGCAGTCGCATTTGAGCAGGCGTGCGTTGCCGAGGGCTTTCGCATCGATGAGGACCAGAACCATCCCGAATCCACGGGCGTGTCGCCGCGCGCTCGCAACAACATAGACGGCATCAGGATGAGTAACGCGATCAACTATCTCAATATGGCGCGACACCGCCTGAACCTGACTATCCGTGGCAATGTTACTGCGCGGCGCATTCTATTTGAAGGCAAGCGTGCAGTGGGAATTGAGGCTGAGAGTGGCGGCGAGGTCTTCTCGGTTGAAGCGGACGAAATCATAGTGAGCAGCGGCGCGATAGCCTCACCGCAACTTCTGATGCTGTCGGGCATCGGGCCGGCGGAGCATCTCCGAAGCTTCGGCATCGATGTCGTTCAAGAACTGCCCGGTGTGGGGCAGAACCTGCGCGACCATCCTGCCGCCGCCGTTCTGTATCGCGCCGTTGGCGACCCGCCTGATGTTCAGGCGCCGACAATTCAGGTTGGGCTGCGCTACACGGTTGAGGGGTCCGACCTCCGCAACGATATGCAGCTTAGCCCGATGCTTATGACAAGCGAACATCGCCCCTGCGCATATTGAAATCAACGAAGATCTCAATTACATCGGCATGAGCGCCAGCTTGCAGTTGGCGCTTGGAAAGGGCGAGTTGACCTTACAATCGACTGACCCGCATGTGCAACCGAACCTGAACTACAACTATTACCAAGACGAAGCGGGAGAGGATCTGCGGCGCATGCGAGAAGCTATACGGCTGGGTGTGCGCATCGCCGAGAGTTCCAACTTCTCAGATCTATTGCTCGACAGGATTATGCCTTCGGACGAAGAATTGCGGTCGGACGACCTGCTGGACGAGTGGCTCCGGCGCAACTCAGGGACATCTCACCATGTATCCGGCACTTGCAAGATGGGACCCGATTCCGACCCAACGACGGTTGTTGACCAGTTCCTGAGGGTAAAGGGTGTGCAGGGACTGCGAGTAGCCGACGCGTCCGTCATGCCTGATTGTATTCGCGCGAATACGAACGCCACTACGATAATGATTGGCGAGAAGGTCGCCGACTTCATAAGGGAAGGCCGCTGATACATCGGTGAGCGTCGGTGACTTGCTAGACTTAATGAGTCTAGTTACTGTTGCTGCTGTCAATGTTCCTGCATATCTCGGAAGTCCGCTCACCATCATGCCAGCCGGCCGAGAGCGAATTTGAAACCCACACCATGCTTGCGGGAATGACGTCGCGCCCTGCTATCCTTGTGCAGATATGAAGCGGAAGCGATTCCCGCTGGAATTTGTGCCGCAATGCAAATTTGACAACGCGACTGGTGAACGGACTTTGCCACCAGTCCCTATGGAGGTTCAGAATGGAATTGGGAGCGCATGTATCGGCTGCGGGTGGAGTGGATAAGGCGGTAGGGCGCGCAGTGGACATCGGAGCAGAGGCTATACAGACATTTGCTGCTTCCCCGCGTGCGTGGGCTTTTAAGCCGATTGCCGACGACAAGGCCGCAGCGTACAGGGAAAAGGCGGCAGAGGCGGGCATAAAGTCAACATTCCTGCACGGGTCGTATCTGGTGAACATCGGGGGCAAGCCCGACCATGTGGAGAAGTCAATAGCATCGCTAACCAACCACATGGGAGCGGCGGCGCAGATAGGGGCTCAGGGCGTAATATTCCACTCTGGCAGCCACAAAGGCGTGGGATTCGATGCTGTGCTGGACCAGGCTGGAGTTGCGCTCAAGCAGGTCCTGGACAATACCGATGACAATGTTCAGCTAATTATCGAGAACTGCGCTGGCATGGGCGCGCAAATTGGCGCGTCTTTTGCAGAGCTTGGCAGGCTTATCAAGGCCGTGGACTCGGATCGCCTCAAGATATGCCTCGACACTGAGCATGCATTTGCCGCCGGATACAACATCGCCGATCCGCAGGGCGTTGAAAAGGCTATGGCGGAGTTCGATGCCGAAATTGGGCTGGACAGGCTGGTCGTCGTGCATGCAAACGATGCCAAAGTTGAGTTCGCGTCAGGCGTTGACCGGCACGAGAACATAGGCGAGGGCTACATTGGAATCGAGGGATTCGAGACGATAATGGCGCATCCCGCGTTTGCTGATGTGCCGTTTCTGTTGGAAGTGCCGGGCTTGGACAAGAAAGGTCCTGACAAGCCCAACCTCGACCGTCTCAAAGACATACGCAATAGGCTGGCGGAATCCGAATAGCAATTGGAGATGCTGTCTACCCTCCTGCGCAATGTTGTAATTGACGCGAGCGAACTCAGTCCGGTATGAACGCAATCGCGGCCAGCGTCGTATTTGGTGTCCTTGCTGCAGTCGGGTGGGGCATAGCGGATTTTCTCGCTGCCTTCGCATCCAAGCGGCTGGGCGTGCTGCGAACAGCGACCGGCGTGCATTTGGCTTCCAGCGCGGTTGCGGCTGGATATTTCTTCGTTGTCTTTGATCCCGCCTTTCTGACTTGGACGCATTGGGCTGCGCTTGCGGGCGTGTCTGTGCTCGGTTTGCTGGTATATCTTGTGTTCTACCGTGCGCTGAATGAGGGACCTGTTGCCGTAGTCAGCCCTATAGTGTCCTCATACGCCATTGTAGTCATAGCGCTTGCAATGCTGTTCACGGGCGAACGGCTCAGCGGCTGGCAGGCCGCAGGAGCGATATGCAGCATCGGAGGCGTCGTACTGGCGTCGTTCGATCCTCGATCTTTTTCGAGTACCGGCAGACTTATCGGGTTGGGCGCGGCGCTGGCAATCGCTACAATGCTTGGCATCGGCGTATTAAGTTTCGCGCTGGGAATACTGTCCAGGGAGCTTGGGTGGTTTCTCCCTGTCTATATCAGCAGAACTTTGACGCTAGGATTGTTTGTGCCCCTCACTATCGCAATGCGCCAGTGGACATTGAGGGGCGTTACGATTCCTCTCGCCGTGGGCGTTGCAGTCGCAGGCATCGTCGAGACTGGGGGAATGTTCGCTTATACGAGAGGGGCTGAGGTGGGCGTCATCTCGATAGTAGCTGCAGCCTCAATCACATATCCGCTGATTCCAATGCTTGGCGGGATTTTCTTGTTCGGCGAGCGACTGGCAATCAGTCAATGGGTAGGATTGGGCATTGCTCTCGCAGGGCTTTTCGTCCTTGCTCTTGCGCCGTGATATACTCTGACGCGGCAATTCAAAACTAACTGAGCATGGCCTATTCTGGCGAAATTGAGGTGAAAGATGGGACTGAAAGATAAGGTGTGCATCGTGACGGGCGGCGGAAGCGGCATAGGTCGCAGCGCAGCGCTGATGATGGCTGACGCGGGTGCGCAGGTCGTGTTGGTGGGCAGAACCGCGTCGAAAGTCGAAGATGTGAGGGATGAGATTAAGGCGGCAGGCGGCACTGCTATGGCACTCGGGCTTGATGTTACGGACTATGACGGCGTTATGCAGATGGCGAAGGATGTGCTGGACGCATACGGGCAGATTGACGTTCTGGTGAACAATGCCGGGCACAGCTCGCACCATCGGCGTCTCATGACAACCACACCGGAGGAGCTGAGCGCTGTGCTGGAGACGAACGTGTCCGGCAGCGTCTATTGCTCGCAAGCGGTCGTTCCGCATATGAAGGGGCGCGGCGAAGGGACGATAATCAATGTGTCATCGATGGCAGGTGTGAATGCGAGCATGCTGGCCGGCATGGCGTATAGCGCGGCGAAGGCTGCCGTCATCAACTTCACGGCGTTTCTGAACGCAGAGCTGAAGAATACGGGGATTCGGTCGAGCGTAGTCATTCCCGGCGAGGTGGACACACCTATACTGGACAATAGGCCGATTGTGCCGTCAGATGACGCGAGGGATACGATGGTAACTGCTGACGATGCGGCGGAAGCGATTTTCCTGATCGCGAACCTGCCGCAGAGGGCATGCATCCCCGAGTTGATAATCCGGCCGACATATCAGCGGGACACCTCAGCGGAGGCTGGGGCGGCGTAAGAAGTTGTCGGTCAGTCCCAGTTATTCAGTTTATCGGGCAAATCGTCAGTTATTGCGCGTTTGACCAATCAGTACGCTTGCCCAATCAATGCAGGAGGACACGATGCAGCAGCAGATACCGTTCTACATGGTACCATTGCTTGAGAAAGACCCCAAAATGGCAGAGATCCTCACTTCGAACAGAGATTTCATAGTCGCAGATGGCGCACTTTCAGCTAAGGTGAAGACTCTGATGATGATGCTGTGCGACGCTCTGCTGGCGCACGAGAACGGCGTCAAGGCCATCGCTGACAGGGCGCGGGGCATGGGCGCGACTGAAGAGGAGATCGCGGAGACGATTCGAGTTGCGTTCTGGATGGGCGGATTGCCGGGCCTGGTTACGGGTGTGAACGCTTTCAGGGAAGATTAAGCACGCCCACGAACTAGGTTCTGTCCAACGCCTCCGGATTGACGCACCCTGGCATCGCCTCGCCCCGCAGCGCGGCGATGATGTTGCCGGCTGACATTTGCCCCATTCGGCGCACGGTCTGGCGGCTGGCGCTGGCGATGTGAGGCGTAACCAGCAGGTTGTCGAGCGACAATAGCGGGTCGTCGAACGGAATCGGCTCAGGGTCGGTTACATCTATCGCCGCGCCTGCTATGGTGCCGCTCGCCAATGCTTCGTGGAGGTCGCGCGGGGTTCACGGTTCGCCCGCGCGTGGTGTTGATGAGGAAGGCAGTGGGCTGCATCAGATTGAGTTCGCGTCTGCCAATCATGTACTCGGTATCGGACGTAAGGGCATGTGCAGGCTCACGAAATCGGCCTCCGACAGCACAGCGTCCATGTCGTCGCGCCATTCCGCGCCAAGGTCTGCCTCCACTTCCGGCTTGCGCGTGACGGGAGTAATAGACTATCCGCATGTCGAACGCCCGCGCCCGCCGCGCAACCGCCGTGCCAATCAGTCCCATGCCGATGATGCCGAGCGTCGCCCCATGCACGTCCGTGCCGAGATATGGAATCTGGTCGAAGACCGTCCATTCTTTGGCGCGGATTTTGCGTTCGCCGTAGGATATGTTCCGTGCGAGTGAAAGTATGAGACCGAAGGTGAAGTCTGCGCATGACTCGTGCAGCACGCCGGGTGTGTTGCCAATCAGAATGCCATTGCGCGTAGCTGCCGGGATGTCTATGTTGTCCAAGCCGACGGCGCGGTTGGCGACCACCTTGAGCGTCTTTGGCGCTGTCGAGCAGGTCGGCGTCGATGATGTCGGTTACTTCAGTCAGCAAGGCGCCGCACTCCTGCGCCTTTTCAAGTAGAAGAGAACGAGGGGGCGGCGCGTTTTGCTGCCACACTTCGATGTCGTATATGCCATCAAGGTACGCGATCGCTTCCGGTATGATATGGCTGCGTGTGATGAATATCTTGTCGTCGGGCATGAATCACCTTATGTTCAGTCAATCTGTTAATGCGTAAGTATAACCGCGTGCATCGGCTCGGGGTTCGTAGCTGCGGGAAGGTAGAGAGGGTGCTTCGGTTCGCCTGTCTTGTTCAATCCGAGGTGGTAGGGCTGTGCTGCCTTAAGTGCCATTAGCTTTACCTGATTCGACCTGCTTCTATACGATCCGTGATTGCCCCATGCGAGTATAACCCGGTCGGCGCTGCTGAGCGCCTTGTAAATCCACTTGTCGTTCTCGGGGCCAATGGGATCTTCTACCCTCCGCAATTCAGACGGATAGGCGGTTCTGAATGCGAAGAGGTTGGCTATATCCAGCAATCCGAAGTTCCATTGCTTGGCGAAGCCTATGCAGCGGCGAATAGTGGGGTCGTTGGAGGTTTCGTCTGCCGTTGCTGGGTTCAGCATTACAAAAAGCAGACGGTGCGGTGAGTCGCTGACGCGCCTACCAAGCAAGTAGCGATACTTCCTATCTGCGGAGAAGTGTGCCCAGCTATCGGTCATCTCGCACCGACTCCTCAATGGCCTGTCGAATCTCTTCCAGAACCTCGGAATCCGTCTCAACTTCAAGAGCGTTGAGTAGGGCAACATCCGCTTCTCGGCGTCGATGCGTCCGAGCGCCCATGCTGCGTGCTGACGCACAAGATTGCTGTCGCTGTGGAGTGCGCCGATGAGAGCGGGGACTGCGACCGGATCGCCGATGTTGCCGAGCGCGACGCACACATTGCGCTGTAGCCCGATGCGCTTCGCGCGCTTGATTGGGCTGCGGCTAAAACGCTCGCTGAAGGCTGCCTGGTCGAGTTCAAGCAATGGAATGAGCGCGGGAGCCGCGAAGTCGTGGCGCTGCTGAAAGGCAGGTTCGAGGCTACCGATTGCCTTGCGGTTGACAGGGCAGACATCCTGACAGATGTCGCACCCGAAAACCCAATCTCCGACCAGAGGGCGAAGTTCGCGTGGGATTGCGCCGCGTAGCTCGATGGTAAGGTATGAAATGCAGCGCTTGTTGTCTATGACATAAGGAGAGACAATTGCCCCCTGTAGGGCAAGCGTCTATGCAGAGGACACACTCGCCGCAGGTCTTCTTTAGTGGCGCGTCTGGTTCGAGTGGAATGTCGGTGATTACCTGCGCCAGAAATACCCACGAGCCGTGGCTCTGCGTCAGGATGTTGGTGTTCTTGCCGAACCAGCCGATACCTGCGCGGGCCGCAGCCGCGCGGTCATTCATTGGTCCGTCGTCAACGAAAATGCGAGTGCTGACCGGGCGCCCTGCGATGGATGGCAGCTTGGAGACGAACTTGCGGAGACGCTTCTTGATGACATCGTGGTAGTCGTCGCCCCATGCGTAGCGGGCTATCTTGCCGCGGGGCTGAGAATCAGGTGGATTCGGCTCGCCCGTGTTGTAGCTGAGTGCGAGCGATATGACTGATTTTGCGCCTTCGAGAAGTTCCTGCGGACGGTTGGCACGGCGCACTCGCTCTTCGGTGTACCATGAAAAGCCGTCCATGTGCCCGTCGCGGATGCGCTTCAGAGCGGCTGCTTCGTCGCGCGAGAATGCGTCGGCGGTTGTGAAGCGCACGATGTCAAATCCACAGCTACCGCCTAGCCGCCTTATCGCCTCTTCCAAACCTGAGTCTATTGCACACAAATTATTACATCCAATGATGATTAAGCCTAGGCCAGTATTGGCCATTGCAATAAAGAACATCTGGGCAGTTATGTTGACCGCCGTTGCTTCAGCATTATATCATCACGCTTAATAATAAATTTTACACGTCAGTCTACCGTCCAGCGTGCGAAACCTGCTGGAATCTCCTTGATTTAACCCACCTTACTTTGCTATATTCAGGCAATCCATAATTTTTGGGAGGGTCGTATCTTGGCAACACCTCGCATCAAAAAACTACGACGAGTCTATGGATTTGATGAAGTCGCAATCGTTCCGGGAGAGGTTACCATCAATCCCGAGTTGGTGAGTACGGACTTCCCGATTGACGGCATTACACTGAAAATGCCGGTGCTTGCTTCCGCAATGGACGCGGTTGGATCGCCCAAATTCGTGGGGAAAATGAACGAATTGGGAGGACTCGGGGTAATGAACCTCGAAGGTGTGCAGGCGCGGTATGATGACCCGGATGAGATTCTAAACCTGATTGTCACCACGCCGCAGGACGAGGTTACGAGCCTGCTGCAAAAGCTCTACACGGCACCCCATACGACCTGAGCTAGTAGGTGAGCGGGTAGAAGAGATGAAGAAGAAACGGCGCTGCGTGCGCCGTTTCTGTTACTCCTGCGAATACCAAGGGACTTGCACCGATTGCGGCTGAGGCAGGTGCGGACATGATTGTGGTTCAGTCCACAGTTACGACCGCAAGGCATATCTCTACCAGCGCGCGTGGGCTGCGTTTTCCGGAACTGCTTGAGATGCTTGACGTGCCGGTGCTGGTTGGCAACTGCGTAGCTTTCGATGTGGCGCTTGAGCTTATGGAGACGGGCATCCATGGCGTGCTCGTAGGTGTTGGCCCGGGCGCTGCCTGCACCACGCGCGAGGTGACGGGTGTTGGTGTGCCACAGGTGAGCGCAACGTTAGACTGCGCCGCTGCCCGCGACGAATACTATGCACAGACCGGGCGCTATGTACCGATAATCACGGATGGGGGCATACGGACGGGCGGAGACCTCTGCAAGGCATTCGTATGCGGTGCGGACGCGGTGATGTTGGGCACGCCGCTTGCGCAGTCCGAGGAGGCGCCGGGCAAGGGCTACAACTGGGGTATGGCGAACCCGCATCCCGCACTGCCGCGAGGAACGCGCGTCAAGGTTGGCATAAACGGCAGCCTTGAGCAGATTCTGTATGGTCCAACTTCGGTTACCGACGGTACACAGAATCTGATGGGCGCCTTGCAGGTATGCATGGGAATGATTGGTGCGCAGACTATACAGGAAATGCACGACGCGGAGGTCGTGGTTGCGCCGTCGATAAAGACAGAGGGCAAGCACTACCAGTTGGGCATGGAGTAATTTCTGCCTTCATCCTAAACGGAATAACACACTCAACGAACAGAGGCAGCCATAATCGCTGCCTCTGTTGCTATGTTGAGATTGTTACACATCTAGCCAACCCTAGCAGATCGCTAATGTACTTGATGTCAGAGCCAGGGAACTGCTCCTGCGCCATAGCGCAAACCTGCTCTAACTGCTCAGGTGAAATCTCCAGTATCAGCCGACCACCCCTCATTCAACTTTGGTGGCGCTTGTTCTAGCAGCCGGCGTATAACTTCCAAGCCTTGTTCGCCGCCGTCGAGGGCGAGTTGAGGTTCCCGTAGAACTTCCGGAGGGCAATCCGGGCAGCAGGTGATTGGCAATGTATGGCGGGTTTGAGACTATCAGGTCAATACGCTGAACTATGGGTGCGAGCAAGTCTCCTCTATGGAGTGAAACTCGGTCGGCAACGCCGTGCCTTTGACGGTTGCAATTGGCAACTTCCAATGCATCGGCAGAGCAGTCTGTGGCGTACACTCGCGAGTCCGGTAGATTGACTCCGATGGCTATGGCGATCGCGCCGCTTCCTGTGCCAATGTCGGCGATTGCGATAACACCAACGGGATGCTCCCGCGCGAACGCCAACGCCGCGTCAACGAGTAGCTCGGTCTCCTGTCTCGGAATCAGGACATTGGGACTGACGAAGAAGTCCAAACCGTAGAACTCCCTTTGTCCCGTGATGTACGCGAGAGGCTCCCTGTCAATTCTGCGATCAACAAGATCCTGAATGTGCTGAATTTGCTCTGCGCTGATGTGCTCATTCAGCGAGGCGTAGAATTGTGCGCGGTCGTATTTCAGAGCATGCCTAAGCAGGACTTCAGCTTCGAGACGGCTGTCTGAGATTCCGTTCCGTTCGAGTGTCGCCTCTACTTCGGACGCAACCTGCCTGATTTTGTCAGACACGACAACCCTCAACCGCCGAATGCGAGTGCGTCCGCCTGCTCTTGCTGAATGAGAGCGTTAATGAACTCGTCGATGTCCCCGTCAAGAACGCTCTCTAGACTGTAGCTGGATAGGTTTACGCGGTGGTCGGTCACGCGCCCCTGCGGGAAATTGTAAGTGCGGACGCGCTGGGAGCGGTCGCCGCTTCCGACCTGATTGCGGCGCACCTCGGATATTTTCTGATGCTGGCGTTCAATCTCGCGCGCAAGGAGTCTTGAGCGCAGCACCGCCATCGCCTTTTCGCGGTTCTTGAGCTGCGAGCGCTCGTCCTGACAAGTCGCGACGATGCCGGTCGGAACATGCGTGATTCGTACTGCCGTCTCGACCTTCTGCACATTCTGTCCGCCATGGCCGCCGGCGCGGAATATATCGATGTCCAATTCTTCAGGCTTAATGTCGACGTCCACTTCCTCCGCTTCCGGCAACACTGCGACAGTTGCGGCGGACGTGTGAATGCGTCCGCTGGATTCTGTTACGGGTACGCGCTGTACACGGTGGCCGCCGCTCTCGTGCTTCAGACGGCTGTAAGCGCCGCGACCGCGCAGCTCGAACACAATCTCCTTGATGGCGCCCAACCCTGTCTGGTTGACGTCGATGACCTCGGTCTTCCAGCCGTTACGTTGTGCGTAGCGAGTGTACATCCGGTAAAGGTCGGACGCGAAGAGACCTGCTTCGTCGCCTCCTGTACCGGCGCGTATTTCAAGGATGACATTCTTCTCGTCGTTGGGGTCTTTGGGGATAAGCTCGATGCGCAGGTCAGATTCGACGCGCTCGATGTCCGCCTGCAATTCCAACTCCTCTTCTCTAGCCAGTGCAATCATTTCGGAGTCGGACTCTTCGCGGATGAGGGCGTGCACCTCAACAAGCTGTGTCTGCGCTTCGCGGTACTCGCGCGACAGTTCAACGATGGTGCGAATGGACGACTGCTCCTTGGCGAGCGTCTGTATACGGGTGTAGTCAGCAGACACTTCGGGGTCCGCCATTAGACTGTCGATTTTGTCGTAGCGTTGCTCGATAGCCTCAAGCCGCTCTTGCATTGTCATAGGGAGTCGCGCTCGCTGGAAATGGTTAAAACTTTGCTTCAGTGTAGTATATCAGATACTGTTCGCAAGCAGATGTTGCTAACTCGAAAGGCTTCTACATACCAATCGCAAATTCAACGAGCGTCAGAATTATGGCCGTACCGTGATCCTTGACCTATGGGTGAGGAATCTTTAATCTGGATATATAGATACCTTCGCGCGAATAAACAGACTAGGTAGAAATTTGCTCTGTATCTTCAGAGTTTCTGACGCTAGTGGTCATTTGGAAGCCGGATGTCGGCCACTCACACGTTAGAGCAGAGTGGACGGCGCAAGGAGGGCGGCATGAAAGTTCTCGTCGCGGGGTCATCAGGCCTGATTGGTACTGCGCTTGTACGTCGGCTGCTGGACGATGGGAATGAAGTCCTGCGCCTAGTTAGGCGAACACCTGCCGCCGACGATGAAGTACGCTGGGAACCTGCCGCGGGTAGCATAGACGCATCTGCACTCGTGGGAGTGGAAGCGGTTGTACACCTAGGCGGTGCGAGCATTGCTGGTAAGCGATGGAATGAGGCGTACAAGAGAGAGATTCGCGATAGCCGTGTCAACAGCACACTCCTTATGGCTGAGACGCTGGCTCACCTTGACCCGAAGCCTTCCGTATTTCTGTGCGCTTCTGCTCTCGGATATTATGGGATTAGGGCAGACGAACTGCTAACTGAAGATTCACCTCAAGGTACTGGCTTCCTTGCCGATGTAACGGCCGAATGGGAAGCAGCGACATCACCTGCGTCCGACGCCGGCATTCGCGTATGCAATATGCGAATAGGCGTAGTACTCAGCCAAGACGGGTGATCTTCCCCGCAGCCTGTTGCTACCGTTCAAGCTGGGACTGGGCGGCAAGCTCGGCAGTGGCAGGCAGTACATGAGCTGGGTTCATCTCGACGATGTCGTTGATGCGTTCGCCTATGCCCTGAAGACACCCACGCTGCGAGGTCCGTTGAATGTGTCTGCGCCGAATCCAGCAACGAACGCCGAATTCACGCGAGCTCTTGCCGGCGTCCTGTCGCGCCCTGCGCTTTTTACCGTGCCTGCGTTCGCGCTTCGTCGTAGTATGGGAGAGGCAGCGGAGTTCGTGCTTGGCTCTGCAAGGTTGCACCCGCAGCGTCTGACTGAGAGTGGGTTCGAGTTCAACTGGGAGAGCATTGAACCCGCATTGCGAGACATTATAGGTAGTTAGCTGATTCTCAATTCCTTGGTCATCGCATCCCGAGCGCCCCAAAAACGAGCCGCTGCACCGACTGGGCGCTCGCCTCTGCAAAGGTTCTCGCATCCCTGATCATGTCGGTCTGAACGGGAATGTCGTCCACATCCCGCAGCGAGGAAACGCCGTATTTTTCGCTGTACGCCTGCGGTATATTTGCGGACAGACGCTGCTCGGACATAACCGCAAAGTCCAACGCCCATGCCCGCGCCACCGCCTGCAAATCGTATCCCCCGCCGCCAAGAGCAAGCCACTTGCCCACTCCGAGCGATGCCAACTCTTCTACGACTGCCGCGTGCCCCTGCACGGACAGGGCCAGGTGCGTAATCGGGTCTTTGAAGTGCGAGTCAATGCCCAGTTGCGTAACTAGCGCATCGGGGCGAAACCTTCGCAATAAGGGCATCGCCACTTCACGCACCGCCCACAGATATACCTCATCAGTCGTGTAGGGATAAAGAGGCACGTTGACCGAGTAGCCCCTGCCTCTGCCGGCGCCGATCTCCTGTGTGTGCCCCGTGCCCGGAAACAAGAACGCTCCCGACTCGTGTAGCGAGATCGTCATCACCCCGTCAGTGTCGTAAAACGCATGCTGCACTCCGTCGCCGTGATGGCAGTCGATGTCCACGTAAGCCACCTCTCATGCCCTGTGCCAGAAGGCGCTTGATGCCGATGACCGGGTCGTTGAAGACGCAGAAACCATAAGTCGTAGGATGGCATCGCGTGGTGGAGACCCCCCGATATGCTGAACGCCGCATCCACCTCAGTCCGAAAGCAGCAACTCGACCGCTGTCATTGTCGCGCCAGTGGACAGGGCTGAGGCATCATAGATGCCCTGATAGGCTGGGGTTGTCCCCAGGTCCGAAATTGAAGCTGAGCTGATCAACGCTGAGTCCCCGTCATTCAGCCGCCGCACCGCCTCAATGTATTCAGGCGAGTGATACCAAAGCAATTCATCGTTCGAGGCGGCGCGCGGGCTGACCAGCGAGACGTTCGGCGCATCGAACGCGCCATAGGCTTTCAGAAGTTCATAGGTATAGCGGAGACGAACCGGCTTCATTGGGTGCGTCTCGCTCAATGTGTGTTTCGAGAGGCTGTCAGAGTATATGAAGGCCGTCTTGCGCGCCATCATCAACCCTCCAGGACTCGCGACGATTCGCGGCCAAGCTCCAGGCTCATATCCGCCTCAGCGATGGTAAAGGCTTGTCCTGTCGCCGCCGTTATATCTGCAAGCTCTGTCCGCACCGCATCCTCCCATGCTGGGTTGATGTGCGACACGACTACCTGCGGCGTTCGCCCGTGTATCTCGCTGAAAGCGTCGAGTTCCCCCATCAGCAACTTCGGCGTCAAATGACCCGCCGCCCTCGCGCCCGCCTCATTCTCATTGCCGAATGTAACCTCTGTGAGCAGAACATCCGGCGCTACATGCTCCCACGCCGCGCCTAGCCCCCTGCCCGTGTCTCCGGTGTAGAACAGTCTTACATTGCCATCGCCAATCTGGAAGCCTGCCGCTGGAACAGAATGGGGCACAGGCACAGCCATCGCGTCATAGCCCAGCACCTTAAACTGTTCGTAGAACTTGACGGCGTGCATCCGAAGGTTGGGGCTTCTACGCTTGGCGAACTAAGAAAGTCAGGGAACAGCCTGCCGTTCATCAGCGTTTCAGTTACGGCGTCAACCGTGTCCTGAATTGCGTACACATCTATAGTGACGCCCTCGTTGCGAACTGCGATGCCCAGAGGCAGTAGGTCCTTCACGTGGTCGAAGTGCCTGTGGGACAGGATGATGGCGCGTATTCCTCGCAATTCGTCGTGCGTCAGCGAGCGCGTGAGCGACCCCGCATCCAAGGCGAGTACGCCGTCAATCAGGTGGCTTTCCATCCTCGTATGGCGGCTCTCCACATTGTGCGCCCCAAGTACCCTGAGTTTCATGGCAACTCCTCCTTTAACCTACTTGCCCTGAACCAATCAAAAGGTCAGATGAATTGCAGACCAACCCGATTGGTAGCGTTTAGACCGCGCGACTAGGAAACTAAATCCCCACAATCTTAATCATCGAATGCGCCTTGTAGATACGATTGATGTTCAATAGTAGAGCCGTCAAGTCTTCGCAGTACCGCGCATTCTCCAATCCTCCGCCGTCAACCCCTCGCGCTCCCTTTATCGTCTCCGCCAGAGCAATCACCTTACTCTTGGCTTCCGAATCATCGCTGCACACTACGATGTCGGTGTTTAGCGGCCTATCGGGCGCGAGCAGTTCCTGTGCGCTGACATTGTGGAACGCTGCGACATGTGTGGCATCAGGAATAATTTCGCGAGCTTCAAGCGCCGCTGAACCCGCCGCGACTTTAATCGCGCTGGCAACGCCCTTGCTGAACGCTAGAGGCGCGACCACATTGATGATCAACTTGCCGCGCAACTCATCGGTTAATGATTCTAAAGTCTGCTTCTGCGCTGCGTATGGCACGGCAACAACCGCCGTGTCGGATTGCGCCGCAACTTCGGCATTCAGTGCTCCGGCAATAGATATGGAGGGCGCAATCTCCAGTACGCTGTCAGCCGCCGCCTGCGCGCGAACAGCGTCCCGCGAGCCAATCAGCACATCCTCGCCCGCGAGTGCGAACCTCAGCGCGAGCCCACGCCCTTCAGGTCCGGTCCCGCCTATAAATCCAATCATTCAGAATCACCTTCCTAGAAATTGCCAAGTTGGGCGAAAAAAGCGCTATGAGATGTGACGCGCGATCTCGCCTGGCAAGTCATCCATCGCAACTGTGTGCTCCTCGCCGGCATCCATGTCGCGCAACTTGATGCGCGCAACTTCCAAGTCCTCCGGCAGCGGTATGATTGCGAACCTGAAGCCCTTGCGCGAGGCGTACCTGAGTTGCCTTCCGAGACGCGCTTGCTCGAAGAATATCTCGGTGTTAACATCGGCTGCCCGCAACGAGCTGGCTACTTCGATCGCGTTGCTCATCAGGCTTTCGTCGGGCACAGTTACGAGGACCTGTGCGGCAGAGGCGCTTCCCGGCTTGACGATGCCCGCCTGCAACAACTGTGAGAACAGCCGAGTAAAACCGATGGATATACCGACGCCCGGCATCGTCTTGCGGATGAAATAGCTGGCGAGGTCGTCGTAACGACCGCCGGAGCAGATGCTTCCCAGTTGCGGATGGTCGTCAAGACGTGTTTCGTATATCGTTCCGGTATAGTAATCAAGACCGCGCACGATGCCGATGTCGGCTGCGATGTTCTCGTCAGCGATGCCGAAAGCAGTAGCGTGCTCGAAAACCGCTTTCAGTTCGTCCACACCCTGTCGGAATCGGTCGCCGCCATCTATCAGTTCGAGTGCACATAGGACATCTGCAGGGCTGCCGCTCATCTGCACGAGCACGAGTATGTCGCTTGTCGCGGCATTGCCGTTTGGCAGGTCGTCAAGTGCCTGCAATAACGGCCCGGTTCCCTGACGGTCAATTTTGTCGGCTTCTCGCAGAATCAGCGAGGACTCGCTTTCGTCAAAGCCCAGATGCTCGAGGTATCCGGTCAGAATCTTGCGGTTGCTGATCCTGATAGTGAAGTCGCCTATGGCGAGGCTGGTGAACACAGTGGATATGACGGCGGGAATCTCGGCGTCGGCCATTAGGCTGAGCTTGCCGTCCCCCACGATGTCAATGTCGCACTGCGTAAACTCACGAAATCGTCCGTGCTGCGGGCGTTCGCCGCGCCAGACTTTCTGAATCTGGTAGCGGCGAAACGGAAATACCAACTCGTTATTGTGCTGTGCGACGTACCTTGCGAGCGGTACCGTCAGATCGAAGTGGAGCGAGTAGTCTCTAGCGTCGCCTCCCGACTGAGGGTGAAGTCCCGTAAGGCTGTATATTTGTCGCTCCGTCTCCGCCCCGCCCTTCGCAGTTAAGACGGCGTTGCGCTCGACGGCAGGTGTCTCAATTGGCGAGAATCCATAGCGCTCAAACGCCGCGCGAATCTGGTCAATCATCCGCTGTTCGAGCAGGCGCTCGGCTGGCGTCCATTCCGGGAATCCGCTGATGGGAGATGGCGTTATTCTATTGATTCTGTCGGCACACATTCGAGGGGATCGCTCCTTGGGGACGCACCAAGCTCAATCGGAAATTAGGCGCACAAATTGTATCACAAGCGCCTGTGTTCAATGGCTGCTTTACCAATTTGGTTGCCCGTTAAAAACTTTCGGCAAGTCAATTAGATGAATCACGCTGAACTGATGCAGGGGGAATTGCGGTATGGGCGCTCTTGGAAATATATGGCAGCGCATTGGCACAAAACTATATCTTGCGCTGGGCTTCGCAGTGTTCCTGACCCTCGTATCGAGCGCAGTAGGAGTGTATTACTTCGAGCGGAGCGGAGATCTGAATTACCAGGTGCGGTCTGAGTCTGTGCCTGCTCTCGAAGCCTCATGGGCAGCGGCGCGGGAAGCAGAGCGGCTGCGCTCCATAGCCCTGGGACTCTTGGCAGAGCCGGGAATCGAAGGCGACGCGTATGAAGTGAATTCTGCGTCGGAATCTCTGGAGCGACTGGAAGATGCGCTGGCCACAGCCAGCAGCGTCCCGGAACTGGTTCCTCCCGCACAGGCAGTTCAGGATGCGGCGTACGGACTGACCGAGGTCATAGATAATCTTGCCGTATACGGGAATGCCTTGATAGAGGCCAATGCTGCTGCGGCTGACTTGCAGCAGCGTGTGGATGGGCTCTCGGTTGATGATAGCGCCTCTCAAATAGCTCTTGTTGTGCTTAACCGGGCCATGCTTGCGAGTAACGAAGATGCGCTGCAACGACTCTGGGACGAGTTCACCGGGTCTGCATGCTGCGGGCATTGACCCGACCATCGTCTCTCTGGCAGACGGTCAGGGTGTGTTCGCGGCTCGCGGACAGCAATTAGTGCTTAAGGAGAGGGAGGCCGAACTATCCGCTCATTCAGCGATTCCAGTGCTGCGCTGGAAACTTCAGTCTCCGCCCTGCTTTCCGGCGCCGGCGACCAGTCCACATCTTCGCTTGGGCTTGCTGTCAGCACCTTCGACCAAGGTCGGCTTCTTCTGACGCTCATCAGCGTGGTCTCCGTGATAGCCGCTACTCTTGCGGCATGGCTGTGGGTGGGCAACGGCATGGTGCGCCGGCTCTCCAGAATGTCGGAACGAATGCGGAACATGGCTGTGGGAGACTTGGAGACACCTGTGCCCGAAGTTGGCGAAGACGAAATCGGCGAGTTGGCAAATGCACTTGAGGTGTTTCGTGAGCAGGCGTTGGAAGTACAGCGATTGAATCTGGTTGAGCAGCTCTATGGGGAACTGCGCCAGGCCAACGAAGAGTTGAAACAGATGCAGGCGCGCCTCGTGGCGCAGGAAAAGCTGGCTGCCCTCGGTGAACTGGTGTCAGGCGTGGCGCATGAAATCAGCAACCCGCTGAACTTCGTCACCAACTTCTCCGAAGGATCGCTTGAGTTGTACGACGAACTTTCGGAAATGCTTGAGACTTATAAGAGTGCCATGTCTGAGGAAGATGTGAACCTTCTCGGAGAAATCAGTGCCGAGATTTCAGATAGCCTGAACCGCGTGTGCATCAACGGAGGACGGGCGCTGGCGATTGTTGAGCGCATGCGTGCCATGGGCGTCGAGGGCGGCGAGCCTGTGCCTATGGAACTGAATTCGATGCTGCCACAGATTGTCAACACTGGCTGTGAGGCCTTTGAGGCGCAATGGAAGGACTTCTCAGTTGAGCGTGTCCTTGACTTGGATTCGTCGGTGGGGGAGGTGCCTCTTGCCGAGCATGACTTCGGAGAGGCAATTGTCAACCTCGTGTCCAACGCTTGTTATTCAATGCTAATGAAGTTGGAAGAAGAAGGCGCAAACTACCAGCCCGTCCTGCGTATTTCCAGCCGTTTGTACGAAGACGACAACTTGGTAGAGGTGAGGGTGCGCGACAACGGAACGGGTATCCCGGATGACGTGGTTGGGCACATTTTCAACCCATTCTTTTCCACACGTGATGGGGCACTCGGCGCAGGATTAGGGTTGCCCATTGCCGCCGATGTTGCCAGACGATTAGGCGGGCACCTTACCGTGGACACCGAGTATGGAGAGTATGCGGAGTTCACGATGGCAATTCCAGCAGTGGCTTCTGAGATGACCGCTTTTGTGCAGGTAGGGTAATCTGCCGTAGGTGCAGTTCTGCTAGCGCCTCCGTAGTACCAGATAGGCGAACGTCGCGAGAGCCAAGACACTGGTTACCATCAGCACTATTACCAGAGTGATTCGCTGGCGAGGCGCGTTCGCTATAGTGTTCAGCGTGTTGCGTATGCGTGGAGCGGCGTTACCGATTAACGGTAGCGTCGGCTGTTGAAAGTTGCCCAACAGACCGGAAGGCTTAACGGTCGCAGTCGGAGTTGGCAAGGGTGTACTCGTAGAGGTCGACGTCGGCGTCGAGGTAGGCGATGGAGTAGCCGTTGGGGTCTCCGTCCGTGTAGGAGTCGTTGTTGGGCTGTTTGTCGCTGTCGCTGTGGCGGTTGAAGTGGCGGTAGCCGTGGGCGTATCGGTCGGCGTTGGCGTGGCAGTCGGTTCAGGAGTTGCTGTGTGAGTCGCGGTAGCAGTCGGTGTATCCGTGGGCGTTGGAGTCGCCGTGTTCCTCCTCGCAGTAGGCCTCCTGGTTGGTTCCGGCGTGCTTGTCGCTTCAGCCCTCGGCACTTCCGTGGCAGTAGGCGCTAACGTTGGCAACGGTACAACGGTCGGTGATGGAACGGTCGTTGCAGTAGGTGCGGGAGAAGACGTGGGACGTGGCGTAGAAGTCCGCCTTCGCCGTGCAGGTGGCGATGTCGGGACATGCGTAGGAGTTAAAGTAAGTGTCGATGTCGGCGTCAACGTCGGTTCGGCAGTCGCCGTCTGAGTGGGAGTATTGGTCGGCGCAGGTGTGTGCGTAGTTGTGGGCGGGATAGTCGGCGTTGATGTCTGAGTTGGCGGTGGTGTTGGAGTGAAGGTTGAGGTTGCTAAGCTAGTAGGGGTGTTCGTGGGCGTCTGCGTAGCCGTTCCCGTCGCAGTAGGTGTTGCCGTCTGTGTGGCAGTTGCCGTCGCCGTAGGCGTAAAAGTTGCAGTGGCAATCGGCGTATTTGTGTGCGTGGGTGTAGACGTAGCTGGCTGCGGCTCGCCGTCGCCGATAACCCGAACGGTGAGCGACGCCGCTGACCCCACCACATAATTGCTAAAAGCCGGATTTACCCGGCGCGAATGGTTCTTCCCGTCGGCGTTTTATCGGGTACCGTGTATGAAACGGCTGCAACTTCAATTTCACCAACACGAAACGCAAAGGCATGCAGTTCAGCAGATTGGTCTGTTGACGGATCAAATATTTGGACCCCGCCAATCAACCTTCCATTTTCTGTGTCACTTCCGACTATCTGTCGATGAGCCCTGACTAAAATTCGCAGTGTTTCGCCCTCTTCCACTGGCGAGGGTGAAAGGCTTACCAAGCCTATTCTCGGTAAATCGGTCTGTAGTGAAACACTATCACTCTGCGGCAAAGTCAAAGGAGTTGTAGGAGGTACTATCTGTGCCTGAGCCTCGCTGTCGGGGGATACTGCCATCAGAATGGACCACAAGGCGAGCAGCGATACAAGCGCAACTATGGCGAGTGTGGAACCAATTCGCCTATAGATTGCTGAGACAGCAGTCAGGCGTCTGTGGATGTGTGGCGGGAATGTTCTCTTCGCACTTCCGGGAGGTTGATGCTGCATCGAAGGCAGGTATCCTCCTTTTGAGTGCGGTTAGCCCAAATTATTGAGTGTTACCTATACTTTATCCTAACCGAAATGCTATTGACTAGACAGCAAATTGGGGAAGTACCACACTGGTATGGTAGAATGCCTCGCGTGAACAGAGCCATCTATTCCTTCGAGTGGACTACCTTCAGAAGTCTGCGCAGAATCCTGATTAATGCCGTTAATCCATAATTCAGTGAAGCCGGATGACAGCAGTGGCACCGTGCTAGCTATCACGAGTCACAAGGCGGGTTCGAGGGTTCGCTTGCGAAGGGGCGTCTAAGTAAGTGGGGAAATCGGGCGAGGAAACACGTCGTCCAGCAGGGCTTATTCCGAGTGCCTTTGCGCTGCTAGTGGCGACGATGTGGGGTGGCAACAATGTCAGCCTGAAGGCATCTCTTGAGCATGGCGCGCCTATGCAGGTAGGTTGGATGCGCTTCGTGTTAGGAGGCATCGTCACGCTCGCATACCTGGCGGTCAGAAGGGAATCTCTGGCGATCGCAAGGCACGAGGTGAAGCCGCTGCTGGTGCTTGGCGCGCTCTTCTCCGTCCAGCTAATAATTATGAATGTGGGGCAAGACCTCACGTCCGCTGGACACGGCGTCGCTCTTAACTCCACATTGCCCATCTGGACTGCGACTCTGGCGAGGTTCTTCATACCTTCCGACCGCCTGACACTCTGGAAGGGAGTCGCGCTGTTCCTCTCCTACGCAGGTGTTCTTGTCGTCGTTCTCGGAGATACCGGCGTAGGTCAGGAAGGCGTCACTGTTCTCGGCGATGTGCTCAGCCTGGTATCGGCGGGCTTACTGGGGCTTAGGCTGATAATGCTGTCAAACTTCGCGCAGAATGTCTCTGAAGGCAAACTGATGCTGGGACAACTCGTGATTGGAACACTGCTTCTGGCATTGGAAGCTATATTTTCGAGACTCCCACATATACAACTGACATCGGTTTTTGGCTCGCGCTCGGATACCAGGGCATAGTAATTGCGGCGTCGGATTTCTCAGCAACGCATGGCTAGTTAAGCGATACCTGCCGTCCACAATTGCATTCTTCTACTTTGTGCAGCCGGTGTCGGGCGTCATTCTGGCATGGTTCATACTTGGCGAAGACCCTGGCCGAGGGCTGATACTCGGCGTTGCGCTGCTATGCGTTGGGGCATTTGCCTACAGTTGGGAGTCATTCGCAATTGCCAGGAAGAGACGCCGAGCAGGCGGATAAGTCCCAGTTCGAATAGACCCTGCCTAGTTGAGTTGTTGTCGCTTCTACTGATTGTACGACTGGGTGCGCTGGGATATACTATAAGTGGTGGCTTAATTCCCAATTGCCAAGCATTGTCAGAGGCACAAGGATATGGTTGACGCTCTCCTTGAAAAGGCGAGAACTTACCTGCCGGCGGATAGGCTGGGCATCATTGATCGGGCTTATCGTTACGCCGCGGACGCGCACGAAGGGCAGGTGCGGCGCTCCGGCGAGCCTTTCATCGAGCACCCGCTTCAGACCGCGCTGTATTTGGCGGAACTGAGGCTGGATGCCAACGCACTTGCCGCAGGTCTGCTGCACGATGTTGTAGAAGACTGCGATGTGTGCCTGGAGGAAATCGAGGACGAGTTCGGCAAGGAAATTGCGGGACTCGTTGACGGCGTGACGAAGTTGACGCAGGCAGAGGTGGATTTCGAAGAGGGCAAAAACGGATTCGTTCTGCGAGATTCCGATGTGGACTTGCAGCAAGCCGCGAGCCTGCGCAAGATGCTCGTCGCCATGGCGTCCGATGTACGCGTAGTACTGATTAAACTTGCGGATAGGCTGCACAACATGCGCACTCTCCAAGCGCTGTCTCCGAACAGGCGCCGCGCCATTGCGAAGGAGACGTTGGAGATATTCGCTCCTCTGGCGCATAGGCTCGGAATCTGGGAAGTAAAGTGGCGCCTGGAAGACTTGGCGTTTCAGCATCTGAATAACGGCGCTTACCAGGAAATCTCTGGCATGCTGAACGCGAAGAGGCAGGAGCGCGAAGAATATATCGAAGGTGTGCGCTCGCTGCTTCAATCCGAACTGGACAATGCAGGTGTTACTGCGGAAGTTACGGGTCGCCCTAAGCACATTTACAGTATTCACAAGAAAACAGAAAAGTATAGGCGGCAAAACTTAGGTGTGGATGACATCCATGACCTCTTTGCCCTGCGTGTACTTGTTGAGAGCGTTAATGATTGCTATTTGGCGCTTGGCGTTGTGCATTCCAACTGGCGCCCGTTGCCCGGGCAGTTTGACGACTACATCGCCAATCCCAAGGACAATCTCTACAAGTCGCTTCACACAACGGTGCTGTGCATAGACGCCCATCCTGTCGAAGTTCAGATACGAACTCAAGAGATGCACCGTCTCGCTGAGTATGGAGTTGCGGCTCACTGGCTCTATAAGGAGGGTCGCACTTCCGACGTCGAGTTTGAGGAGAAAATGACCTGGGTTCGCCAACTCCTCGACTGGCAGCGGGATGTGAATGGCTCGCACGAGTTCGTAGAGTCGTTCAAGATGGACATATTCAAGAACCAGGTTTATGTCTATACGCCGAAGGGCGATCTGAAAGAACTTCCTGCCGGAGCGACGCCTCTCGACTTCGCTTTCCGCATCCACACCGATATAGGCCATCGCTGCATTGGGGCGAAAGTTAACGGCAAGCTGGTTGCGCTCACCTACACGCTGCAGAACGGCGACACCGTTGAAATCATGACCAGCAAGGCGGTGAGAGGTCCCAGCCTTGACTGGCTGAACCCCAATCTCGGCTACCTAAACTCGAACTCCGCGCGCACAAAGGTAAGGCAGTGGTTCAACCGGCAGGAGCGCAGAGCTAATATTGAACGCGGAAAGGATATTTTCCGCAGGCAGTTGCGGCGGCTGAACCTGGCAATGACGGACGCAGAGCTTTCGACCATTCTTGGATTTAGCAGTACCGATGAGTTTATGGTCGCTCTGGGCGGCGGCGAGATACCGTAGAGCAGGTTGTTGACCGCATTGCGAACCAGGAAATCCCCCCTGACTCAGATTTCGAGAAGATATACAGTGTTCCTGTCAGCAGCCCCGCGTCCGGTATCGAAGTATTAGGAGTAGGGGACCTGCTGACGCGGATGGCGAACTGCTGCACACCTATTCTCGGCGACAGCATTGTCGGATACATCACGCGAACAAGGGCGTCACGGTTCATCGCCAGAACTGCCCCAACATTATCGCGGAACGAGAAACGGAGCGCCTGGTTCCCGTTGCGTGGAGCAAGGCTCACGAGTTGCATCCCGTCCGCGTTCGGCTTGAGGCGCAGGACAGAGTGGGACTGCTTAGGGATATTACCTCCCTTGTTTCCGAGGAAGGTGTTAATATAGCTTCATGTGTTTCAGAAGAGGAGAAGGACGTCAGCATTGTTTCACTGACGGTTTATGTTGATGGCATAAGTCAACTCAACCGGCTGTTCTCCAAGATGGAGAGCGTGCGCGGGGTGATTGGCGTAAGCAGAGCGAGAGTGTAACGCCGACTGACAGACACAAAGTCGTCGGTTGCAATTCAGGAGGACAAGAGAAGTGCCAAGTGCAAAGTCAACACGTGTAGCGGTAAGGAAGCGCGGTCGCAATATGCCGCTGCGGACCCGTGCCAGGTCGCAAATCAGGAGGGCGCGATCATTAATCGACGCTCAGGACATTGAGAGTGCTGAAGAGGCAGTCCGCGCCGCATTCGTTGCGTTGGACAAGGCCGCGCAGAAAGGCGCGCTCCACGCCAACAACGCGTCTCGGCGCAAGTCGCGCATTATGAAAGCGCTCCAGAAGGCGAAGGCCGCGAACTAGCGCGAACGCTCATTAACAGAAGGGAATACCAAGAATGCTCAGGATCAGATTGAGACGGGTCGGCGCAAAGAACCAGCCGAGTTATCGTATAGTTGTGGCGGATTCTAGGGCTGCGCGCGATGGCGCGTTCGTGGACTATCTCGGACACTACAATCCGCGCACCGATCCGCCCACCGTTGTGATGGACGAAGAGAAGGCGCGCAAGTGGCTTAGTGTGGGCGCACAGCCTTCGGATGCTGTGCAGCGCTTTATCGACAAGATGGGAGATCCGGAAGAAGCGCCGACGGCTGAAGTTTCCGCCGAAGCCGAGCCGTCCGCAGATGAAGATGCGGATGCTGCCGAGGTTACCGAGACAACTCCCGAGACCGAGACGGCTAGTGCCGAATGAAAGATATAGTCGAGTACATAGCTAAGGCAATTGTCTCGCACCCCGATGAAGTGGTGGTCACCGAGGAAGAAGAGGGCGAAGGGCTCATCATCCTCAACCTTGAGGTTGCATCTTCCGACAAGGGCAAAGTAATCGGTCGACAGGGTAGGGTGGCGCAGTCAATTCGCGCCCTCTTGCGCGTAGCCGCCGTTAAGGACGGCACAAGAGTCATCCTTAAGATTGACTGATCCTTCCCGTCAAGTCGCTATGTCAGCTAAGCAGGAATCACCCGTCATTGTAGGCAAAATACGCTCCGCATGGGGGCTGCGTGGTGATGTAGGCGTTGAGGTGCTGTCGGACGCTCCCGAACGTTTTGCTGTAGGAAGCGTCTTGTGGCTCAAGGGCAAACCCACCCGGGTGGAGCATGCCCGCAAGAGCAAACGCGGTGTTACCGTAAAACTGGACGCCGCCAATAATCGCACGCAGGCTGAAGCGCTGCGTGGCGAAGATCTGACCGTGCTGCTGGACCAGGTGGAGCGATTGCCCGATGGCACGTACTATCACTTCCAGATTTTAGGGGTGCGCGTTCTTACGGACGACGGTGAGCAACTCGGCTCAGTCAGCGAGATAATCGTCACGGGCGGCAACGACGTGTATGTCGTTCACCAAGAAGGCCGGCGCGACATCCTGATACCTGCGCTGCCGGATGTTGTTCTGGATGTCAACCTTGACACCGCCACGATGCTGGTTGATCTGCCGGACGGGTTAGCTTAGTCTGCCGCTTCCTGCACTGCCGCTTCCTCTTTGAACTCTGCGATGAGCTGATGCAGTAGCATAGCGTCCTCCTCCGGCAGCGCGAGCCTCGGAGGACGCGGATCGCCGATGGGCATGCCAACGGCCGCCATGGCGCACTTGGTCGCCGACACGTACTTGTCGCCTGCGATGGCGTTCAGCAGGGGAATCATGCGGTTGTAGAGAAGCAAAGCCTCGCCGTGCCTGCCTTCGTCCATCAGGTCGCAGACCGCCGCCGATTCCGCAGGCAAGAAATTGCCGATGACCGACACATAGCCCTTTGCGCCCGCTGCCAGCGACTCGAATGGATGGTATCCGGCAAAGACCGACACCTCGTCACTGATTCGGTGAAATCTCGCGCACACGCGATATGTCGCCGCTCGATTCCTTGATGTAGCGCACATTCTCCAATGTTCCTAGGCGAGCCACGAACTCCGGACGCAGGTCAACGTTCGCGGTGTTCGGTTGTTATAGACCATTATGGGATAGATACGGCGTCGCTGATACGGCGGAAGTGCTCGAAAAGCTCGTCCTCCGTGGGACTGGAGTAGTAGGGCGAGATGATCATCAGTCCGTCCGCGCCGATTGCCTCTGCCTCAAGCGAGAAGCGCACCGCCTTGTCGGTCCACTCGTCCGCAGTGCCGATGAGCACGGGGACGCGACCGTCCGCCGCTTCGACACTATCGTCTCGACTATCTGCGTGCGCTCGGCGTCGCTGACCGACAGGAACTCGCCGGTGCTGCCGAGCGGAATGAGGCCGTGGCTGCCACTCTCGATCTGCCAGTCAACGAGGCGGCGCAGGGCTTCGGTGTCGATGCCGCTGCCGTCCGCTGTGAAGGGCGTGGCAAGGACGGTGTGGCTGCGGAATTCTTCGTGCGTGGGCATTGATTGCTCCTAGTAAGCATCGATGTACAGGATTGATAGATTTCGATTAGCGCAGGCGGACTTTGAATTGGGATGGGTCTTGCCAGCGTGTTCGATAATCATCCGCGCGTTTTTGACATGGTTCAATCCACTGTAGTTTATCTTCTACATACAATGAACCTACATCGATCGGCATTGTAAACTTCTTTCCATTTGGGTGAATCGGGGCATCCGATACGATATATCTTGTAGCACGCTGAATACGGCAATTACTGGCATTCAAGTAATTATTCGTGTATAGCCAGCGCGATGATTCGACCACAACCAGATTCCACTTTCCGAGTGCGACTTTTCTATTGTCTGGAAACTGAATCTCAACAGGCCGAGTGTCGCCCCCTTTCGGACTCAAATTCGATAGTAGAACCCAATTTGAAGCATCCGTTCCGTCCTGTACTATGCCGCTGGCAGCATTGAGCGTCGTACTTTTTGCGACCAACCTTTGCTGAATATCCTCCAGCCCAACAATCGGGGTCTCAGCCACCATCACGCTGTACACTTCGACGTTAGGACGCCAAAGTGCCATCGCTTTCAGGCATACCTCGGCACGCTCGCGCCATTATAGTCGAACTGCAGCCGCATGTTTTCTGGCCGGTCTGTTTGTGTCGTAAATTTCCCAATGTTGCCCGTCGGTTATTGCGAAGTAACGCGCTTGCCGATTGGCGTCCATAGCGTAGGCAACGGCTTGCCTTGTACCGTCCTGCAAACCACTGCCCAATTTCTTTGCTCTATCACCATTGCGGGTTGGCCATTGTTTTGCAGCACATAGTCGGGACGTCCTCGTCCTAAACCTGATGTATCCTCCGGAATAACTATGGCAGGATCCGCCGTGTCCCAACCAAGTACACAGAGTAGCGGGTCCACCAATGCGTATCGAGTAAGCATCTCATCTCATCGCACGCTCGCAGCGATGTTCCACGATGCGTTTCTCAGCGTCTCAACTAGTTCAAGCAGGCTTTCGAGCGGCATAAGAAATCCTTTCCCCTTGGCTGCGCGGATTATAGCATGATGCGACATTGGTTCTGTATAATCCCTCTGGGCGACTGACGCGCTGATAGACTGAGCGAAAGAAAGAGGGTGCAGCCATTGAGGAAGCCACATGTGTTTGCGGGCAATCCGCTGGATAGGGCGAGCGAGAGCGGCGAGACGAGGACTGGATAGAAGCGCAAGCGCAGGACCACAAGCCTCTTTCTGGCGTTCAGTGAGCTTAATGTGCTGCTTGGCGTTGACCCTGAGCCGACGCTTGGATGGCTGCCGCCGGATGCCATTCCGTCCGACAGCACGGTGAGCACGCCGACTATGCTGGGCATGATGGACGGCTCGACTCGCTTCGCCATAGAGGTGAATGAAGACGCTGCTGCATTCATTGAGGATTGGACGGAGATGAAATTCGAGGATTGCAGGGCAGCGGGCGAGCTTCTGCCGGGTCCGGATGGGGGCATTGTCGCTCAGGCGCGGGCGCAGCTGACTGGCATAGACGGCATCGCTTCTGCTCGGTATGCGGTCAGCCGTCAGAGAAGCGGCGCGGCGGTCAGGTGAGGTATTGCCCATCGTGCAAGGCGCAGCACTTCCCGCGCACTGACCCGGTTATCATCATGGTTGTCGCCGACACTGAAAATGATCGCTGCCTGTTAGGGCAGTCACGCGGACGGCTGCAGCGGATGCGTATGTATTCGGCGCTTGCCGGTTTTATGGACCAGGGCGAGGCGATAGAGAGGCTGTGGCGCGCGAGATTATGGAGGAGTCCGGCATACAGTAGAAGAATGTGCGCTACCACTCGTCGCAGCCTTGGCCGTTCCCGTCGTCGCTGATGATTGTTGCATGCCGAAGCCGCCACGACGGAAATCAACATGGACGCCGAAGAGATGACCGATGTTCAGTGGTTTGAGCGGTCCGAAGTCCTGCTGGCACTGGAGGGCAAGAGCGAGCGCCTGACGGTGCCCGCGCCGTTAGCGATAGCGCATCACCTGATCAAGGCATGGGCGTATGGCGAGCAGCCTAGCTATTAGCTAAGGTCCGTCTTTCACAATTACGCCCTGTTGCATCACAGGCAATGTTTGGCGGGGTTTCGCAGGACGCTGATGTCGTCGAGAGGGTTGCCGTTCACTGCTACAAGTCCGCAAACTTGCCTGCTTCGATAGTGCCTATGTCTTGCAGCAGTCCGATGTTGTCCGCGGCGTTGCGGGTGCCTGTCGATGATGGCTTCCATCGGCGTCAAGCCGTATTCCACCATCAACTCGAACTCGTGAGCAGTTGTCGCCATGAAAGACGAGCGGCATCGCGGCGTCCGTCCCTAGCGCGATTTTCACGCCCGCCTGCTTCGCCAGAGCGATGGTATTGCGAGCATAGCCTTCCATGCGCTTTAACTGTGCCTCGGAGCCCGGATATGACCACAGACCTTCCTCGATGGCTTGAGCCGCCGCCGGAGTTACTGAGAGAGTAGGGCAACAGGTAGGTGCCGCGTTCCGCCATCATGTCTGCCGCTTCTTCATCGAGAGGAAAGCCGTGCTCTATGGAGTCCACGCCCGCCCGGATGCATTTCTTGATTCCCTCAGTGTGGGAGTGCGCGTGTGCCGCGACCTTAATTCCGGCGCGGTGCGCTTCCTGCACCCCGGGAATGAGTTCTTCGGTTATGTAACCGTCGCGTCCGCGGAAGGGCGGCGAGAGTGCCGGGCGAGTGCCGCCGGTGTGCGTGATGCCTTTGCCTGCCGCGAGCAAACGCGGTCCAATGTGCTCGCCGGCTGCGAGGCTGTCGCGCAGCGCGAAGATTTCATTTGGGCCGCCAAGGTCACGGATGGTCGTGAAGCCCGCCTCTAGAGTCTTGCGGCAGGCGTTGACGGCATACAGCAGGCTGCGTCCCTTCATATAGGCGTCGTCGCGTATTGGGACGTTGGACCGGCGCGGAGCGAGGCGCGGATCTGGGTAGCTCAGAATGTGCACATGGCAGTCTATGAAGCCAGGAAGCAGCGTCTTCCCGCTGAGGTCAATTTCAATCCCATCCGCAGGTGCAAGTAGTGAATCGGCGGGACCTATTTCGCTCAATACGTCCATCCTTGACCAAAATAGATTGGCTTTCGGTTGGCGCGCCGCCGTTACCGTCTATGATACGGGCGTTCTTCAGGAACAAGGTTTGTGTCATAGTGCGTCTATCCCATACCACCTGTGATTCCCTCCGGGATGCGGCGGGCGGCCTCTTCCGTGAGCCACTTGCGGTCAATCTTGTTTGTGCCTGAGACCGGTATCTCATCCACGAAGAACACGCGCCGCGGATGGGCGTAGGCGGGTCCGTTGCTGAAGAAGAACTGCTTCAGTTCCATCTCGTCGGTGTTCTCGCCCTTGTGCAGAACCACCCACGCCACTGGCGCTTCCCCTTTGACCTGATGGTGCGCCGATACTACTGAAACATCGGCGACTGCGGGATGCTGAAGAATGATTGTTTCTACTTCTTTGGGATATACATTCTCGCCGCCGCAGTTAATCATGTCGTCCACACGACCCTGGAAGTAGATGTAGCCTTGTTCGTCGGCGTACACTAGGTCGCCGGACTTGACGAAGCCGTCCGGAGTCATCTTTTCTGCGGTAACGTCCGGCTGCTTGTAGTAGCCGAGCAGGTTGGGTGGGCCCTTGCTCCAAAGTTCGCCAATTTCGCCGGGTTCGCAGTCGCGGCTATCGTCTTCAGGATCAACGATGCGAACTTCGACATCCATGACAGGCAAGCCGCAGCTACCCAGCTTTTTGATTCCCCAGCGTGGGGAGAGCACATTCGCTCCCGCCTCGGTGAGTCCGTAGCTTTCGATGACCTCGCAGCCGAAGACGCGTTTTATCTCTTGCATCAACTCTTCGGGCACGGGCGCGGAGCCGCAGGACAGGTACTCAAAGGAGGTTACGTCGTTCGCCTGCAAGGCCTCGCGCTCGGCAAGCAGCAGGCTGTACATCGAAGGAGTGCCGGACATGAATGTCGGCTTGTGGCGGTCAATTGCCTCGATGACCGGCACAGCGGCGAAGTCCGGCAATATGGCGGCAGAGCCTCCGACATAGAGCATAGGCATCAGGCTGCCCCA